AACATAAAAGCACTACAGGGGTAAAGATTTTAAAGTCTGGATTTTAGCTGGATTTCGGTCATTTTGGGATGGGCGTGGCCCCTGGGAGTGGCCCGAGTGGGTTGAGAGGTCGAAACTTGATTTTTATGATGGTTTGGGACAGGCAGAACCCATTTTTAAACTAAAACATGTCCCACCTACCCCGGAACATAAAAGCACTACAGGGGTAAAGATTTTAAAGTCTGGATTTTAGCTGGATTTCGGTCATTTTGGGATGGGCGTGGCCCCTGGGAGTGGCCCGAGTGGGTTGAGAGGTCGAAACTTGATTTTTATGATGGTTTGGGACAGGCAGAACCCATTTTTAAACTAAAACATGTCCCACCTACCCCGGAACATAAAAGCACTACAGGGGTAAAGATTTTAAAGTCTGGATTTTAGCTGGATTTCGGTCATTTTGGGATGGGCGTGGCCCCTGGGAGTGGCCCGAGTGGGTTGAGAGGTCGAAACTTGATTTTTATGATGGTTTGGGACAGGCAGAACCCATTTTTAAACTAAAACATGTCCCACCTACCCCGGAACATAAAAGCACTACAGGGGTAAAGATTTTAAAGTCTGGATTTTAGCTGGATTTCGGTCATTTTGGGATGGGCGTGGCCCCTGGGAGTGGCCCGAGTGGGTTGAGAGGTCGAAACTTGATTTTTATGATGGTTTGGGACAGGCAGAACCCATTTTTAAACTAAAACATGTCCCACCTACCCCGGAACATAAAAGCACTACAGGGGTAAAGATTTTAAAGTCTGGATTTTAGCTGGATTTCGGTCATTTTGGGATGGGCGTGGCCCCTGGGAGTGGCCCGAGTGGGTTGAGAGGTCGAAACTTGATTTTTATGATGGTTTGGGACAGGCAGAACCCATTTTTAAACTAAAACATGTCCCACCTACCCCGGAACATAAAAGCACTACAGGGGTAAAGATTTTAAAGTCTGGATTTTAGCTGGATTTCGGTCATTTTGGGATGGGCGTGGCCCCTGGGAGTGGCCCGAGTGGGTTGAGAGGTCGAAACTTGATTTTTATGATGGTTTGGGACAGGCAGAACCCATTTTTAAACTAAAACATGTCCCACCTACCCCGGAACATAAAAGCACTACAGGGGTAAAGATTTTAAAGTCTGGATTTTAGCTGGATTTCGGTCATTTTGGGATGGGCGTGGCCCCTGGGAGTGGCCCGAGTGGGTTGAGAGGTCGAAACTTGATTTTTATGATGGTTTGGGACAGGCAGAACCCATTTTTAAACTAAAACATGTCCCACCTACCCCGGAACATAAAAGCACTACAGGGGTAAAGATTTTAAAGTCTGGATTTTAGCTGGATTTCGGTCATTTTGGGATGGGCGTGGCCCCTGGGAGTGGCCCGAGTGGGTTGAGAGGTCGAAACTTGATTTTTATGATGGTTTGGGACAGGCAGAACCCATTTTTAAACTAAAACATGTCCCACCTACCCCGGAACATAAAAGCACTACAGGGGGTAAAGATTTTAAAGTCTGGATTTTAGCTGGATTTCGGTCATTTTGGGATGGGCGTGGCCCCTGGGAGTGGCCCGAGTGGGTTGAGAGGTCGAAACTTGATTTTTATGATGGTTTGGGACAGGCAGAACCCATTTTTAAACTAAAACATGTCCCACCTACCCCGGAACATAAAAGCACTACAGGGGTAAAGATTTTAAAGTCTGGATTTTAGCTGGATTTCGGTCATTTTGGGATGGGCGTGGCCCCTGGGAGTGGCCCGAGTGGGTTGAGAGGTCGAAACTTGATTTTTATGATGGTTTGGGACAGGCAGAACCCATTTTTAAACTAAAACATGTCCCACCTACCCCGGAACATAAAAGCACTACAGGGGTAAAGATTTTAAAGTCTGGATTTTAGCTGGATTTCGGTCATTTTGGGATGGGCGTGGCCCCTGGGAGTGGCCCGAGTGGGTTGAGAGGTCGAAACTTGATTTTTATGATGGTTTGGGACAGGCAGAACCCATTTTTAAACTAAAACATGTCCCACCTACCCCGGAACATAAAAGCACTACAGGGGTAAAGATTTTAAAGTCTGGATTTTAGCTGGATTTCGGTCATTTTGGGATGGGCGTGGCCCCTGGGAGTGGCCCGAGTGGGTTGAGAGGTCGAAACTTGATTTTTATGATGGTTTGGGACAGGCAGAACCCATTTTTAAACTAAAACATGTCCCACCTACCCCGGAACATAAAAGCACTACAGGGGTAAAGATTTTAAAGTCTGGATTTTAGCTGGATTTCGGTCATTTTGGGATGGGCGTGGCCCCTGGGAGTGGCCCGAGTGGGTTGAGAGGTCGAAACTTGATTTTTATGATGGTTTGGGACAGGCAGAACCCATTTTTAAACTAAAACATGTCCCACCTACCCCGGAACATAAAAGCACTACAGGGGTAAAGATTTTAAAGTCTGGATTTAGCTGGATTTCGGTCATTTTGGGATGGGCGTGGCCCCTGGGAGTGGCCCGAGTGGGTTGAGAGGTCGAAACTTGATTTTTATGATGGTTTGGGACAGGCAGAACCCATTTTTAAACTAAAACATGTCCCACCTACCCCGGAACATAAAAGCACTACAGGGGTAAAGATTTTAAAGTCTGGATTTTAGCTGGATTTCGGTCATTTTGGGATGGGCGTGGCCCCTGGGAGTGGCCCGAGTGGGTTGAGAGGTCGAAACTTGATTTTTATGATGGTTTGGGACAGGCAGAACCCATTTTTAAACTAAAACATGTCCCACCTACCCCGGAACATAAAAGCACTACAGGGGTAAAGATTTTAAAGTCTGGATTTTAGCTGGATTTCGGTCATTTTGGGATGGGCGTGGCCCCTGGGAGTGGCCCGAGTGGGTTGAGAGGTCGAAACTTGATTTTTATGATGGTTTGGGACAGGCAGAACCCATTTTTAAACTAAAACATGTCCCACCTACCCCGGAACATAAAAGCACTACAGGGGTAAAGATTTTAAAGTCTGGATTTTAGCTGGATTTCGGTCATTTTGGGATGGGCGTGGCCCCTGGGAGTGGCCCGAGTGGGTTGAGAGGTCGAAACTTGATTTTTATGATGGTTTGGGACAGGCAGAACCCATTTTTAAACTAAAACATGTCCCACCTACCCCGGAACATAAAAGCACTACAGGGGTAAAGATTTTAAAGTCTGGATTTTAGCTGGATTTCGGTCATTTTGGGATGGGCGTGGCCCCTGGGAGTGGCCCGAGTGGGTTGAGAGGTCGAAACTTGATTTTTATGATGGTTTGGGACAGGCAGAACCCATTTTTAAACTAAAACATGTCCCACCTACCCCGGAACATAAAAGCACTACAGGGGTAAAGATTTTAAAGTCTGGATTTTAGCTGGATTTCGGTCATTTTGGGATGGGCGTGGCCCCTGGGAGTGGCCCGAGTGGGTTGAGAGGTCGAAACTTGATTTTTATGATGGTTTGGGACAGGCAGAACCCATTTTTAAACTAAAACATGTCCCACCTACCCCGGAACATAAAAGCACTACAGGGGTAAAGATTTTAAAGTCTGGATTTTAGCTGGATTTCGGTCATTTTGGGATGGGCGTGGCCCCTGGGAGTGGCCCGAGTGGGTTGAGAGGTCGAAACTTGATTTTTATGATGGTTTGGGACAGGCAGAACCCATTTTTAAACTAAAACATGTCCCACCTACCCCGGAACATAAAAGCACTACAGGGGTAAAGATTTTAAAGTCTGGATTTTAGCTGGATTTCGGTCATTTTGGGATGGGCGTGGCCCCTGGGAGTGGCCCGAGTGGGTTGAGAGGTCGAAACTTGATTTTTATGATGGTTTGGGACAGGCAGAACCCATTTTTAAACTAAAACATGTCCCACCTACCCCGGAACATAAAAGCACTACAGGGGTAAAGATTTTAAAGTCTGGATTTTAGCTGGATTTCGGTCATTTTGGGATGGGCGTGGCCCCTGGGAGTGGCCCGAGTGGGTTGAGAGGTCGAAACTTGATTTTTATGATGGTTTGGGACAGGTAGAACCCATTTTTAAACTAAAACATGTCCCACCTACCCCGGAACATAAAAGCACTACAGGGGTAAAGATTTTAAAGTCTGGATTTAGCTGGATTTCGGTCATTTTGGGATGGGCGTGGCCCCTGGGAGTGGCCCGAGTGGGTTGAGAGGTCGAAACTTGATTTTTATGATGGTTTGGGACAGGCAGAACCCATTTTTAAACTAAAACATGTCCCACCTACCCCGGAACATAAAAGCACTACAGGGGTAAAGATTTTAAAGTCTGGATTTTAGCTGGATTTCGGTCATTTTGGGATGGGCGTGGCCCCTGGGAGTGGCCTGAGTGGGTTGAGAGGTCGAAACTTGATTTTTATGATGGTTTCGGACAGGAACTACCTATCTAAACGCTAAAACATGTGCCACCTACCTCGGAACACAAAGGAACTACAGTGGTAAAGATTCTCGATCTGGATTTTACCAGGATTATAGTAATCTTGGGATTGGCATGGCCTCTGGGAGTGGTTTGAGTGATTCAAGAGCTTAAAACTAGGGGTTTGTGATGGTTTGGGATATGTACTACCTATTTAAACACCAAAACATGTTTCAAATAGTCAGCAACACAAATCATCTCAGGGCCCAGGGGTAAAGATTCTCATTCTGGATTTTTAGGGATTTTTCACAGATTTCAAGCTATTTGGGATTGGCGGCCTGAGTGGGATGGATGTGTTACTTAGATTTTCATATCTTATAAGTGTCTATAAAAGTATAAGCACGAGCAGTTTATTGAGACTTCTGACTTCTACCGTCGTAGATTCTACAATGATAAATATTGTAAAGTACGTGCGGCGCGCAAAATCCACTACAAAATCCACTACAAAATTTAAGGAAACGTCTTCTGACTAATTTTCACAAATCATAATATCACTCTCAGTTTTATTTTATGACTATAATCTTTTTTGTTTTTAGCTAAATTTAAATCATGTAATTCCCCAGTGTTACGTAAAGCAATGATAAACTCGAGCACATGGCATCCCAACAAGCTAAGTTCAGCTGAGGTACGTATATTTTTTCCCGATCCATGACTCAAAGTGCCGAAGGCACAAAAGAGTCAAGGACAAGGGTTAGCGATCGAGGTTTTTTTTAAATATGGTAGCTTTGAGACCGTGCGACCGTGCCTGCGAGTGTGCGACCGTACCTGCCCTCGCGCACTGTTATCGCCCACGTGACTACCTGCGCAAAGTTATTTTGCGCACAAATCTGAATTAAATAATTGTCTCGCTTGGCATGTCACTTCGCCATATTTGCATGTTTATATAAACAGTAAAGACTGGGCCGTCCCCAGGTTGTATGGAATATGATAAAATACGCCATCACGGATCGGGAAATTGAGCGGCCATCCACAAAAGAAAAGCGGCCGCATTTCTTGTTCTTAAGGGGGCCGGGGGGGGTCTTCATCAAAATTCTCTCGAAATCGAGTTTATAGTTGTTTCTGATAGAGGGGAGTGATATCTATCAGCTGCTTTTGGTCCCATGGAAAAATATTGTTCCTAGCCGAAATTATCGCCGGTCAAAGGTTAGCGCTTATGTGTAATTGTATTGCGCGAGCAATTTTCAATCGCGCGTTCTGAAAATCGAGTCTAAAAATCTATCTTCTCCTACATTTTTTGAGCAATCACCCTAAAATTTTCAGGATATGTTCTTAGGATCAGTTAGAAGAGAACTCTAGAGCCAGAATTTTGAGATAGGCCTTTAAAGATTTTTAATCCGATTTTGAAAATCTTGGACCTTTAAAAATCAAGGTCCAAGATTTTCAAAATCGATTTAAAAATCTTTAAAGGCCTATCTCAAAATTCTGGCTCTAGAGTTCTCTTCTAACTGATCCTAAGAACATATCCTGAAAGTTTTAGGGTGATTGCTCAAAAAATGTAGGAGAAGATAGATTTTTAGACTCTATTTTCAGAACGCGCGATTGAAAATTGCTTGCGCAATACAATTACACATAAGCGCTGACCTTTGGCCGGCGATAATTTCGGCTAGGAACAATATTTTTCCATGGGACCAAAAGCAGCTGATAGATATCACTCCCCTCTATCAGTGACAACTATAAACTCGATTTCGAGAGAATTTTGATGAAGACCCCCCCCCCCCCCCCCCCCCCCCCGGCCCCCTTAATACAATGAGAAAACTATCGATCAGTTTCCATCTTTAAAAGAACCTTCTCTATCTTATATCAAATATTTTGTAATATTCACCAAACCTACCATGACCCTCTCTAGAACCAAGGAACCTGCCCGTCCCCACTAAAGTCGCCTCCCCCTAAACCTCCTAGACCGGTTACAGGGCCCCAGTTCTGCTACACGCCTGATAATCCTTGTCTGCCTTCTTACCGAGCGCGGTATGAGGCCGGAAGGAGCTCCAGGTTCGTGTCCGTTATTAAACTTTTGTATTTTTATGGAACAGTTCACAATATTATTCGAAAGAGATCAGAATGTGATGACATAACTTCCATCACAAAACGTGTATTATATTTGATTTACAGAATGGGAAGTGGTTCTACTAAAACTCCCATTATACTGTCAGATTAAATATTTACGTCCCTCTTAAAGAGGCTTTGACATAGCGCTCTTTAGGAAAGATAAGCTGGTGGATTGGACACCAGGGAAGCGAAGTAAGAGCGCAGAACGTAAACCCAAGACTCCAGCCACTCATGATACGCAGCGATCTAGAGCTAACACGTGGTAAGTTACTAACACGTGGTAGGTTTCAAAGGTTGAACGCTGATGTTGGTAGTTCTCACCCCTGGGGACAACTGATAGCTAACTCATATCACCGTGATCAAAATAACATCGGCTTTACTATCTATGAATCATATGACAAGAATTAAGCTAAACTATATATTCTGAACTTATGATATATTTTGCAGCAAGAAGCCGAACAGAAGAAGGTCGAGGTCTGTAGAAATGACTCCCCTCCGCATGACCGCCCCAAGTACTCCTAATCCTCACATTATGGGAACTCCTAAAGATCCTAAAGATCGGGTGTCCGACGCTACGTACGTGTCCATGCACAAGTTCAGCAGAGTATCTGTGGATAGTACCCCCAAACCTTCCAGAAACCCGCCCCGACCTCCAAGTCTCAGTAATCTGCCCGGGTGAGAAATTTGCTGTTTACGTTACAGTGGTTACTAAGGTTACATGTCATGTGAACGAAGTCATACCACGACTGATTTGGCTCCGAGTGCTTATCTTGTTCTTACTAAATACTTGTCAAACATCAGGTCTGCTAGCAAGAAAACTCCCGGAAGACCGTTAAGCAAGATCAACGAGAGTTATAGGACAGCGCTGAACAAGAACACTCCTCCCTCCGCCTCTTCTACAGGGTAACACATTTTTAACGTTCTTGTAAAATTATTTGGTATTTTCTGTTATCTTGTCTTGCCTTGATAAATCTATAAATGGTAACAGCTGTATTTCAGATTAAATGGTTTCATACAGATTGTTAGTAACTTGCTACATTCCATTAAAACTTGTTCTTGTTAACAGCTCGTTTCCTATCAGGAAGGGGTCCCCGTCCAAAGGAACTCCTCGCCGATCACCAAGACAACAGAAGCTGCAAGCAGATTTGAGCAAGAGAGAGAACAAGAAAAGAGCTCCTATTCCACAAGGGACGAGTCCTCAGAAGAATTGTAATGTTCACGCCACCAGGTCAGTAATCGTGTCAGGTGAAACTATGCGACATTAATCAGGATTCATTCAAATTCAGCCAAATTTTCCATGTTTTTCTAATCTCAATTTGAAATTGTTGCAGATCTAAGAAGAGTCCAGCGCCGGAACCTCAGCGCAAAGTAAGAGTGCCCAGACATAGTCAAGGTGGAACGAACAACCTCGACTCTCCTAACCGATCAGATCTCAAAAATAAGGAGGGGCTCATGAATGTCTACATCGGCGAGGTTGGGAACTCCAAACTTCATTTTTTAAATACGTTTCAGTCTCAAGTCGCCCACATGTTTATGTTTGATCATCTTAACCGTATTCCCTGTGTAAAATGAAAAAAAAAACTGACTTCCCTGAATTTTTCAGGAATCGGACACATCACTCTCTCCCTCGATAAAGATATGCAACACACCTTCCAGCAGTGTCACCTCTACCCCAACCAGCTTCACCTTCGATGTAGAGAACTACATCGACGAAGCGTTCGGTTGCCTCCAAGCGGAGAGCACTGCCATGACAAACGATGTTACCCCTTCGTTCCACTCAGCAAGTGCAAGGAGAGCTGCCCCGAGGGCCCCGTCAACCCCTAAAACGCCAGCAGGGAGGACTCTAACTAAGACCCCTAATAGGAAAGTGTCCAGAAACACGCCTCTCACCTCCACCATGAAACAAGGAGCGCCTGATTTCGACCTTCCAGGTGAGATATTATAATCCCTCCCTGTGAAAAGGAGCCTAGTATTTTATGTATATATTTTTTAAATTCTGTCCAGGACTCCAGGATTGTATATCATGACTGCCATTATCAAGGTGGTAATTAAGTTGATGTTTGATTTGTTGATGATTAATGAATTTCAGGAGACGTAACCGCGATTGACAGCGGATCTATGCGACGTAAAGCAATGAAGGAGGTACTCGACATCACCCCCATCATCGAAGAAGAGGAGGAAGAAAAAGAAGATAGCAAAGAGCGAGGAGCAAGTATCTTAGATGGTTACTTTGACAGCTCTATCGACAGCACTATCGACGAGGATGAGGACACTAAGGAGAACGAAACACCCTGTAATATGTCCGATCTTTCTCCTATCTATGCAACTTCTCAAAAGAGGAGATCTGAGTCTCCTGTAAAGGAGCACAACTCTCCTTCAAAACGTCTCGCTACAACTGGAAAATCTCCTGCGACTCCTGCTTCAAGAAGTAGGAAGTCTCCTGCCACCAGAAGTAAGATTTCTCCAGCAACACCTGCATCCAGGAGTAGAAAATCTCCTGCTTCAAGGAGTAGTATGTCTCCTGCGACTCCTTCTTCAAGGAGTAAGAAGTCTCCTGCTGTGACAAGCAAAAGGAGCAGTCGATCTCCTTTGGGTTGTTTGAAAGGATCCAACACTACCTCTTTTAAGAAGGGTGAAATGTCACCAGCTGACCCTGATTTTAATGGCAAAGAGAGCCCGATAACCGTCCGACCGAAGCCTAAGTTTAAAGTGGTTAACGGAAAACTGATGCCCATATCATAAGGGCGTGTACATGCCCATATTAGGACAATAAATGGCGCAGGATTTAATGGAATCGTCATTTGACTCCGTATCGCTCGAAATGAACTGGTGAAAGAAATGAAACAGTTTGAAGATGATAAGGAACTCGCATGGTACTTCTCCTCAGACACATAGTAAAACAGTCTGCGAATATTTGAACATCATGAAAAATATCAAACAAAATTCACGCCCAAAAATGTACAATCAGCAATCAGAATATGTACAGGATATGCATTTTTATTTTTTTGATTCAATGATAATTGATTTATGATATGTCACGGAAAATATTAGCATTTGATTGGATCTGGATCTTTTTTTCAGGTTTTTATTTCATTATTTTTATGAATACAAAGTGAAGCAGTTAAATTCCCAGTTTCTTGAGATACAGTTTTTGCATGCATTTAGCTTAGACTCATCTGATAGTGATTAGTGATTTAAATCTTAATTAAAATGGGTACGAGATCTTGTGAAACTCCCATTTTTAAAGGTATGTGAATTTGTTCACTAATTTTCACTGCAATCATTTCGCTGGATTGTTTAGCCAATGGTCAAATTTTGATCATGTTTGGCAACGATTTGATCTAATTTTTTGAAAAAAATTTTCAGCACAGTTCAGTTTCAGAACTCAGACAATAACTGAGACCATTTTTTAATTAATCGTTTTCCATGTCAAAAATTAAATTGGCAACCCGATGCAAAAAGAGAAGACTCGTTTTTATTTACAGGGTTATTTTGTAATTCCAAAATTTTGCTGAAAACATTTGTATCGTTAACATCTCTGTTTTGTTTATTATCCTGGAGATGTTATGTGGTTTAAAACTTGACAATAATTTGATAGCTGAAAGTGGAAACATTGATTAAAAGCAAAATTATTGTGAGCTTGAAATTACTACCCATCATCACAATATGATGAAAGCATCGCTGAATTAAACAAAATATGCTATGATACGGAAGTATTATAATTACAATTGACCCATTACAATATCTACGATGAAATACTAGTAGGAACCCTTGTCAGAGTTCAATATCCATTGTCCAGTTTCAGTCCGTACAGATAAATTTATTCCATGCCAATTTGCCAAATCAATAAATGTAAAACTAATGAAGCGAGCTGAGGTTTTGAGATTTTATTGAAGATCAAAGATGATCCAATCTTTAGTGCTCGTGAGGATTTGGATTCTGGCGGATCTTCTTGTGTTGATCTTTTGACAACTTGTCCTAAATTGAGCTAGCCTTTACATTTGGTAATTCCAGAGCTCAGTCTGAGATACATTTTGCATTCAGCATTGGATGAATTACGTTAGTTTTTGGTATTCCTCAATTTGCGAGAGCAGTCCTCTAATCTGATAATTTTAACAAGTTCCCTTCTCAATGATTTTGGAGTTAAGAGATACACTAAGGGAGAGAATCCAATCAGGATTTGTAGCACCGAGTAGAAAACATCAAAAACAAAGGAAAAATATCTTCCCTCCACATAGCATAACAAGCATTTTAGTTATATCAACAGTGAACAGTGTAGACAATCATCCCAGCCCAGGGTAGCGTTGTGGTAAGACAGACTATCACAGTGGAGTTCCCACCTACGAGTGGTGGCTGAGAGGTGATGTACAGCGCAACAACAAAAATGTTTGGTAGAAGAAGCCCCACCACCAGGACAGTGCTGTAGAAAGCCTTGCATTCCGACTTGTTTCTATCATCGTAGCTACAGTAAACCATCTTATCGCTTTTGTCTTTGAATAATATGATTTGAAGAACCACTTTACAGAGCCCAAAACTTGGAGCAGCTGCTATAAGCCCACATATAAATACTGCCCCTCCGAATGCAGCTAGCTGGTATTTCTTCTTTATAAAGTCGAAACAACAGAGAGGGAAGGTTACGAAGTTGCTCCTTACAACAGTGATGATCAGAATACTGTATCCAAGCAGAAGAAGAGTTAACGGGTGATACTTGTAATATATCTGTTCCAGGACCGTCGACGAGTCCAACTCGGCGCGCGTCCTGGTAGGTTGTAAACCTACAAAAGAAGAGCAAATGTTTGGAGAGCTTGCTTTATTTTTGTATCACGTGGTGACGGCTCTTACTAAATCGCTCGCCCAAAAATTTCACGTGACTTTGGTTTTTTTGGTTTTGCAGCCGTACAAAACGGTTTTACATAAACCCAAGCCCTAAATAATCGAATTCACGTTTTACTAGCCTGTCATGTGACCAAAACGGTTTTTTGCCCATAACTCTCCAGGGAAGCATTTTAACCCTACGTCATGGGGGGTGATTCGGAATCAGCGTCCAAAAATACACCGGTTTAGATCACTTTCATGCCTAAAGGGCCTTTTCACAAGAATTTTCTTTAAATTTGGGCGAGCGATTTATAGTAGGAGCGCGTGGTGACCCCCACTGTCGCTTCACTATAGAGTTTCACCTGTAGAGTTTCTACGATACAGGGGAGCCGCGCACTCGTGCGCGGCGGGTCATACAACGTATGACAACTTTATTTCACATCTAGATTGTGTTTCTTTAGGGTCCAATAGTTCAGTTATCCATGAAACTGTGAGAAGCATTAGAAGAAGCATTATATATAGAACAATATGGAGACATAAATATTAATCAGTGATCTAAAGCGTTTGAAGATGATGTAGAAAGCCAAAAAACTGAATATTATCAAAGCAATGGAGCTGGGAAAAGAGAAGCTCATACTAAAAGTAAGATTGTGTTTAAATGGGTTTGGAACAACAGGATCTGGTGCCTCAGATATTGGGTAAGATGTATGGCCGGGTGTTGTTGATATAGTAGTTTACCAACAAACTAGGACTCGACCGGTGACCGAACTTTTGAGGGGGTCCCGGACCCCAACTGCCAAACGGTTCCCGCGGGGCAGCCACGCCCATATTTGGCCCAAATTAGGCTCAATTTTGCCAAATACCCTAAATATGCCCAAAACCCAGATTTTAGGTGCCTAACTTGTAGCTTGTAGTCCCTTGAACTCGTATATACATTTTCATCAAGATTGAAAAAAATGACTGAGTAATATGAGCCAAAAACCATATGACCATATTTGGGCATACGCACCAAATTTGATCGATTTTGGCCCATAAATTGGTCAAATATCAATATTTTTGAATGAAACCAAATTTATATGGAAGGTAAGCTTATACTACACATTCTCTATGATTAACAGCTCAGTATCTACCTAACTATGGATTCTGTGTTCAAATAATCGCAAAAAATGAACAAAATTGCCCATATCTTAGTTTGCGATATTTTCGAAACTGACTTCGCTCAAAACAATAGAACTCAATAGGGTTTCAATATTTTTACATCAAATTTTCAGAATCAATGTAGGATCGCATTTCGACCTTAAGTTTTAATATGGAATTTTGAGTTAGGCCTTTTTAAAAATTTGGCGGCCAAATTCTGAAAAATGCCCGGCTAATGAGTTGCGAATTATAAGGGTATTTTAAAGATTCTGTGCCGAATTAGGCTGCATATTGAATAATAATATACCCTGTATTTCATTTTGAGATTATACCACGAATTGATTTAATAACCTTTATTAAAGATAAACGGAGAAGCTGAATGAAATGCCTCGCAATTGAAGACCAATAATAGCTCGGCTAGCAGATCACGTGACGATGAAGCGAAGCGGATGTTAGACAGGGAGACTAGTTCATGGTAGTAAGTTTATTGGGGTTCCTTGATCTGAGTGGGGTTTTAATTAAAAAACGTAGATTTCAAATTAGCAGGCTAAAATTGATCAATGCAATGATAATTTATAAGTGTTGTAACAGGAGCTTATAATAAAAAGAGAGCTGAGGTGAGTATGGAGAGTGGTTTGGAATTTTAAATTTAGTGATTTTCTAATGAGCCCGGTATTTATCAATATCATTGTTACTGTTGAGTTCAATTATTATTAACAGTGGCACTAGTACGCTATTGATAAAACTTTTCTAGTTGGCAGATCGTGCGTTTTAGCTCCCCTCGGTCTGCACGTTTTCGACTCAATTAATATAAATGAACTCATTTGTAAAACGTGATCATTTGATAGATTATAGAATATAGGTAGTATTGTGTAATATGTATCTATGTTAGTGAGTTATTATTATGTAGTGGAAGTGGAACATCGAGTTCTGGTCTACGTGAAAGGTTGGGCGGATCTGCACCTGGGAGAGTGCAGTTAATGCACCACCTCAGAGGAGAGGGGCTGTGAGACAATAAAGTTAGAGTTAAGGGCTTTAAAACACAATGATGTTCAGCGATTTAGACTGCACCTGGGAGATGATAAACATATCGCTTCAGAGTTAACTTTAAGGATAACAGCCTCATATAATAGAGATCATCATCAAAGGGGTAGGAGTGGCTAGTCAACAGAGTGCGAAGGTAACAGCTGAACCTGTAACTCTGGTTGAGTTCTGGTTGGCCGGGAGAGGGATCGACAGGGGACATATTAGTGTCATGGGTCATGGTTTATTTAAGCTAGGATTTTCAGCGTGAATATATACAAGTATTGACGGCCGACTTTATAGTATGTCTGGATATAGTAAGACTAATAGTGTAGTGATTGTATTTTATATAGTGTATATTTCTATCGTTTTATAATACGTGTATTAAATTATTAATCATTAGGCCTTCAACGTCAGTGTGTAATAATCGCCACTGTTCGTATCAATTAAACTTAAAGCAGGAATACCCACTGCTTACACATTTGCTAAACTTGTGTGCTAAAACCGGGAAATCTGCATTTCTTAGTCTTACACGTTAACATGTGGTCAGGTGGTACTCATAAAGTCATAAGAACTTTAGAGCATAAATGATATTGATATCAAAAAATTATCCGACAATGTTTAACAATTCTTTGATTTATTAATTTTCATCACATTTTCATCATTATCATTATCGATTATTTTTCTATTATTAACGAAGAAAATTTGTATTTTGTTTTCCAACTGTATACTTGCAGCAATGAAGAAATTTACATATTTTATGGTCGGTTTTCTGCTTCTTTTCGGAATAAATACTGCTAGAATCAACACGGTACGTATTTCCGAATTCCAATAACAATTATAAAAACGAGCGTGCTGAATCACTCTACAGTCGATCTTCGAAATTTTTCTAAAAGGGCCCCTAACAGTTGAAACCAACTTCGATCGACGTATTTTCGGACGCTGATTCCCAATCACCCCCCATGACATAGGGTTAAAATGCTCCCCTAGCGAGATATTGGCGAAAAACTGACTCGATCGCGTGATATGACCATATACGGAAGTTAGTCTAATTTCTCGTTAGGGTTAGGGTTTCAGCATATGCTTTTGTTAGAGATTGGGTTAGGGTTAGGGTTGGAATCAGATTAGAGGGCTATGATTTCGAATAGTCATTCAGGGCCACCAAGAGAACGTGTTTAAGAAGTCACGTGACAGTCGAGTGTAGAGTGATTAATCATCATCCTTATAAAAACATAACTGCTGCATCTCCCACATATTGTTAACTCCTTAGAGTAGTAATAGTATACACTATAAACTATACAGTAAAACCCCGAAAATCAGCATAAATTGAAATAATATTAATGGTATTATTGCAGAGTTCATTTTAAAAATTAACCTTATCCTTATTAGTATTTTTTCATTTCATGGTGCTTGCCCCTTAGCTATTTTACGTTTTTCAGGAACAAGAATCGAAAGAAATTGCTGCGGACGATCTCAAGGACCTTATCTTTACATCTATGCACAACATCGTATCCCTAAATGGTCTGGTTACTGAACTTACCCAAAGAATAGCCCAACTTACACTCTCGTTCGTTGATACTAAAACAGAAACAAAAATGGTGAAAACAGATATAGAAGACTTGAAGAAGGAGATGTATAAAGTAAATGAGGAGTTAAAGAAACTGAAGGAGTCTCGTGAGGGAAAGTGGACTGAGTACGGTGACTGGTCAGAGTGCTCAGCTGAGTGTGGGGGTGGAATACAGAACAGAACCAGATCCTGTACCAACCCTGGCCCTGCTAATGGAGAAGCTAATTGTGAGGGAGATGAAGAACAAACTCAGACGTGCAATATGGACAAATGCCCAGTTAATGGAGGATGGACAAGTTGGGCAGATTGGTCCCAATGTTCTGTGCCGTGTGGAGGAGCTGGAACTAAAACGAGAAACAGGACCTGCACAAATCCCTCTGTAGCACACGGAGGTAACGAATGTACTGGAACAGGCTCGGAAACTGGATCCTGTAACAAAGGAAACTGCGGCAATGTGGCCCGGATAGGAACAGCAACTCAAGTGAATACATACCATTCGCCTTCAACTGCCGACAAGGCAATTGATGGTAACACTGATGGTCATTGGAGTAGAAATTCTGTTGCAGGCCCTGCAACGGCTGGAAGTGGCGGTTGGTGGGCTCTTACGTTTCCTGAACCAATGTACATAGATTCTATCGATATTTATGGTCGAACGGGTTGCTGCGAACACGAAATCGACGGATCTACTGTCTCGATTGACGATCGAATAGTCAAGACCCTATATCACACCGGAAGTTTCCTTTACCAACTGACAACAATCAGAAGGGTTGGATCTCGAATAAAATTCAGGGGTCACGGGTCAGCTGATAGCAATAAGCATCTCGTCTTGGCTGAAGTTATGGTCTATGGAACATATGCAAACGGTTAAATTGAAAACGCGACTCTCCTCACGATTGTATTATGAGCTATGCAATGAAATATATTACATATATTAATATAGTGTAACATAATCAATTAATGATACGTTTGTCTCACTGTTTCCTTTATTGTTTCCATTAACTCATTAAGATTGTTAAACATATAGAAAGTAAATCAATAAAATTCTGTTGGGATAAGACTGAAAAGCACAAAATCGTCACAGATGGTTCCAGATATGTATCGTATATCTCCCATACTAATAGTTTTTAAGTAGGCAGATCTTGCGTTTCAGCTCCCCCAATTCAACCTATTTGTTAAAACCAGGAAATTTGTATCTCTTACACGTTAGCAGCTCGCACCTTTAGACTTAGAGTATAAATGACATTGATATCAGAAATATCCAGCCTCTGGCTTTAGTTATTTGACCTCGAATAGTCCAATCTGGTGACCCATTAACAAACACTTGCAATCAGAATCTCCATCAAAAGATCCGACTAGAGCTTAAAATTCACATGTTCGAAAAATTAACGTTTACACCACCACGTGTGCTGATTATAATGCATAAACGGGGGTTTCAATAATTTGATTAGAATTTTTACACAGTTCATGTTAAATGTCAATGGCTGAGTTGTCGCTGTTCATTATATACGGATCACTGCATAAGCTGCATTAAATTTAATTCGGAAAATTATGGGTAGCTGAATCGAACCAATGATCGGAATTTAATTTAATAAGTCAGGTCTCCGTCTAGGTGGTGTGTTACATCTCTGATTCACGTTCTCATTTTCAACACAAGTGTGATTTAGTGTGAACTTATTATGTTGCACTCTTGTAGTACAGCTGCTGCTCTCATTATGAATTGTATTTGTAAAACGGGGGTTTCGATAATTTGATTCGAATTTTTACACAGTACATATTACTATATACAAAGAAACACTATTTTGATGAGAAAATTAAGTACAAGCCTCATGAAAGATCTTCGAATACATTTTTTGCTAAGGATTATTATAAATATTTTACACTGCAACGTTCAGTAATGCTATTTAAAATTGAAAGGTTTCTATTATAATTCGAAATTGTAATGATAATACATGAATAAAATATAGCGCACGACATTGATCAATTCCTGGTACCCCTTCCCTAGTGACATTTGTAATATCTGCAAGTAAATTGTTTCGGAATCCCTGCCCAACATTCCTTTAATAAAAATTCTGGAAAATCTCCCCTCCTCTTAACCCAGCTCGTGCCTGAAAGCAAACATCTACTTCTCCTAAAGTGCCACCAGTTTCTCCCTCTTCTCTTTCTCCAGCAATTTCATTTCAAGTTCCTTGATCTCGGCAGTAGTCAAGTACCTCAGCACTCCATGCACTCGGTTATCCTCGTCTTCAGTCATTCTACCGTCCATACACCGGTACACGATTCTACCAAGCTCGATCACATCTGGGAGGGTATAAGTCAGTTTGGAAGTGTCTTGAGATGAGATTTGAGATGCAGTTTGCCGACGATACAGTTTGCTTACGGTTAAATTAAAGATAACAAGTAAAAGTAGCTTAGTTTGCAGCATAAATTCGCAGAATAAGTAGTAGTTGATAACCTATCGAATATGATTTGACTTTAAACATAGTCTTCAATTAAATCACAAAAAATAACTGTGGACGTACCATTGTGAAAGACGATATTGTTGTTGATGAAACAAGGGCAGTCCTTCTCCTCGCAGTGAATAATGTCGTTACCGTAACACGTGCACATCTCACAGTCCTTCTTGAACTTCTCCCCAACATCGTAGTTCATTCCGTTCACTGAGCACTTGTCAGGGCACTGCAAAGTTTGTTTGATTTTTGAATGTAGGTATTGATTTCTTGGAATCTATAAAGTACAGTTTATCTTGATAGTAGATCGGTTCCCCGACAGACGCCCTAAGTTGATGTGCTTGGTTCCTCACTAAGTCTGGTTATTAAGGCGTGGTTAAGCCAAACTTAAGGGACACTTAAGGCACAGTATTCACTGAACTTATAATTCGATGTACTATGAGGCCTCATGTTGTTGTGTTAAATTTTTGCTCTGTGAAGAGAGAAATAAGAAAACATTGTTATTGCTAGAGTTTTTATTGTGAAGAGCAACTCTGGCGAACACACGAAACTAAAACATCAGTCGAACAAAATATAAGTTCTTCGAATTGCATGGGGTCAAGCATAGTGAGGAAGTGTTACTGTCATGACTCATGATTATAGAGATAACGTTAATTGAAAGTTAGCATTGCAACTATTCATAAATTATAGTGGATGCAAACAAAAAGCTTGCAATAGATAAACAAAGCTATAATGTATTATTGTTACTTAAACTTAAAAGTTAAAGCAACTATTATACGAGGGGAATAAATTCCAACTTTTATAATTAAACAATATTCAGGACGCACCTCTCGGTTAATACAAGTGAAAGATCCATCATCGCACTCGCAGTTGTCACATGTTTCGTCATTGTACCACTTCGTTCCATGGTCGTATCTATTCCCCTTGTAGAAACACTGTCTGGGGCACTTTAGTGTTGCTGGGCACTTAATGTGGCCTGGGGTGGTGCGGTTGAAACATAGAAGTGAATACGATAGTTTGTAAACAATAGCTTTAAAATAACAGATGTTAATTGTCTTCAGCTGTGCAGGTGGAAGGGTTAAAAGTCAACCTGCAGTCTGCACCACTTTATATAAAATATCTTATGATATTCGGTCCTATCACGGATTGGTCTGGGAATGATATATCATATTTATAAGTTGAATTAAGTATGCATTGCTTAAATATGAATATCACATGACTTCAGGTTGAAACTATCAGCACCTTTAAATCGTTATCCTAGTCAACATTTCATTCTTACCGGGTAAACAGACGCACTCATCACATCCGATCGTTATTATCTGGTTGACTCTGTACTCGCTGCCATCGTGACTGCACCCATGAGGGGCTAAGTGAGCCAGACTCACCAGTGTGCTCAGTGTTACCACAATCAGCAACATCTCTTCAAATTAGTCCTTTATCAAAACTTACCAGGGTCTCCTAAATGGAGTTTTGAACGAAATTAAATGGATGAATCAGCTTTTCTAAATTTAATACGGCTTTGAGCGGCATTTATAATATAGGTGTCAAATATACGTTATGGGTGATAATTTATAGAATTGGGTCACGGGACTCGGAACATATTTCAAAAATATGCTTATATTAGCCACATATGGCTATATTCCAAAACGCTAGAACTAGAAGTACATGACATTAAACGGCACAGTTCGAACCGAGTACGGTAAAATCGGTATCATGTGTAAGTTTATAACCTACTAAAAGTACTAACGACGTTATAATATTTCAAATAAATATTTGACGGGTATCTGTACCATCCACCCGTTAAGGTATCATCATCACAGGTTAAAATTGTATTTGTCACCTTAAGGGGAGATACACCAAAAACGTTTTTGCTCCGAACATCGATTTTATTTTATATTATGGTTAAATAGACAAAAAGAATAAGATTGCAAACCTTCAAAATTTTCTAAAAATATTCCCTCATCGAGAAAAAAAATATTTTTCTTTTTCGAAAATTTTTAAAATTTTGATAAGTCTGTCACTGTGATACCGATAGTTCGGCCATTTTAAAAGTTTTTTAGCTGATTTTTTTACTGAACATTACTTACAATCCGTACAAGAAGCCATTGAAAGGATTATATAATTCTTCCAAGCAGAGTTACTGGCTTTACTCCACCTCTGTATCCACCTCTCCAAGAACTTTTACGAAGCTACTGAGCTCCACATCTGTATCGACAGCAAAGCAGTTCTTCTTGCCTTATCGGGCACTATAACCCGATCCCACCTCATCCTAGACACTCTAGGAGCCTTCAACGCACTTAGCAGGACGCTATCCGTCACCCTCCACTGGGTACCGGCGCATAGTGGAATTAAAGGCAATGATCTCGCAGATTCTCTGGCAAACAAAGGATCCGACTCTCCTCCCATTGGACCGCCTCCTTTTGCCCCTTACACTCACTCCTCTCTCTCTAATATTTTAGACAGTTACTTTTCTCGACTTCACTATATTCGTTTATTACTCTTCAGATCCTCCACTGATTTTCACCAATCCAACATTATTAGTTTCTTTGACAGACACCTTGACGTTAAACGACATAATAGAGACAATATCAGAATTCTTACCCATCTATTCACAGGATGCAGTTATCTCAGATATTTCCAAAACAAGATTGGCAACGAACCCAACAGCATATGCAAAAAGTGTGATGAAGACAAGGAAACTACAGCACACTACCTCACAAGCTGTCCAGCATTCTCCATACACAGGAAATACTACCTTGGTAACTATACCATCAGAGAGGACACCTTCCATCAAACCTTCTCTATCAGTAACATAGTGGGGTTCGCTAGAGCTACCAAGTATCTAGATTTCTATGAACCCCCTTAGTCTCTTTCTCTTAGCCATAGCTGACGTAATTGTCCCTCTACCACAATCACCCTCCCCTCCCCAGATCGTGTTCAGACTTGCAGCAGGTCCTGCTACCCAGCCAGTTCTAAGGGCTCAATAGTCCACTGGACGGCTCTCGTAGCTTGACTTAATGCTTGTCTCTCTCTCCCCCCCCCCCCCCCCCACCCCTTTTTTTCTTCTTTGCTGATTGTGGAAGGGACAACCACGTTACATACTCAGTCTCCTTTTATTTCTCATTCACATGATTCAGTGACCTCCCCAGCCCTCTATATCTTTAACATGATACCTCCCAGGACCATAGTATTCCATACCAGACATTTCTTTAACTCCTCGTTACAGCAAGACTAATACAACACGGAGAAGAAAAGAAATAGAGACAAGAATACGACAGCCATGGACTCTTACAAAAGACTAACAGAAGGAACATCCCGGTTTGATCCTTCTGAACTATGCATCTTATATCGGTATAGTATTGGTATCTATTTATTACCTATTGTTATTTTTTATCTTTGCTAGTTAATCAGGTTTTTGGGTACCGGGCCATCCTGTTTACCTTGCTATGGGCCGTTCCCCTGGCTTCTGCAGGTCTAGTTTACCCATATATATATATATAATTGAACGATAAATGACGAAGTTACAGACCAAACAAGGTCGAAAAAATACAAATTGAAATGTTTCCCACTTCTAAAGTTGTACATTTCACCAATCACCCGGGTCAGCAGATATCGCTTCAAAAATTCTTGTGAGTGTAGCTGATGATCATATCAAACTTTTTGGAGTAGGATTTCTCTCAGATTTGAGTTTTAAGCTATGCAATGTGGCCTCAAACGACTTAGTAAAATTCATCGTAAAAAAGGGCAAAAAAAGGCAGATTTAAGGCTTAAAATGCCTATAACTCAAAAAGTATCAGTTTTTTTGAAATCATTTTTAGCTCGAACACAAGGGTCCCCCCTTGTATAAATTTTGTACAAATTGTACACATTTTTTTACAAATTTTGTGTCTTTAAATATTATAAATGTCGTACTAAAAGATTCGTCTTACCAAGCTGATTACGATCCTGTAGAAATTATTTCAAAAAAACTGATACTTTTTGAGTTATAGGCATTTTAAGCCTTAAATCTGCCTTTTTTGCCCTTTTTTACGATGAATTTTACTAAGTCGTTTGAGGCCACATTGCATAGCTTAAAACTCAAATCTGAGAGAAATCCTACTCCAAAAAGTTTGATATGATCATCAGCTACACTCACAAGAATTTTTAAAGCGATATCTGCTGACCCGGGTGATTGGTGAAATGTACAACTTTAGAAGTGGGAAAAATTTCAATTTTTATTTTTTCGACCTTGTTTGGTCTGTAACTTCGTCATTTATCGTTCAATTATATAATCCTTTCAATGACTTCTTGTACGGATTGTAAGTAATGTTCAGTAAAACAATCAGCTAAAAAACTTTTAAAATGGCCGAACTATCGGTATTACAGTGACAGACTTCTCAAAATTTTTAAAATTTTCGAAAAAGAAAAATTTTTTTTTTCTCGATGAGGGAATATTTTAAGAAAATTTTGAAAGTGTGCAATCTTATTCTTTTTGTCTATTTAACCATAATATAAAATAAAATCGATGTTCGGAGCAAAAACGTTTTTGGTGTATCTCCCCTTAACCACCCAATTAAATAATGAATAAGCTAGTACTGTACTATAGCTCCATTTTACCCTAGAACAGGGCAGAATGTGTTTACTATATAGTTGACGAGGGTCGAGGACAGCAATTCACGTACTCTTATAGTTCGACACAAATTCTAGTTCGACAACTTAAGTTCGTCAGAAATCACCCCTTTCGAAGTTACGGTACGTGTGGAACTACAGTCCAGGTAGCGTACTCTATGACTATAATTCAACAAATAGTATCTGCTTGTGATTCAATAGCTATTACTGGGTCCTTATCAATATCATAGGATAACAGTGTTCAATGACAGGTGCACGGGATCATAAATTTCAAAACGTTTGGGTTATTAAAAAAAGTATTTTCTGACATCAAGCAACCAGCGGTAGGAAATTTAAAAACCATTCAGTATCGTTTTAATTTTCCTGTTTGCCACTCAGTTCCGGTCTAGCAAACAGGAAAATAGATTGATATCGTTTGTGTTTATATCTAAAAAGATGTGTATAGATCTAAAAAGTACGAGTTACCTGGGACACCATGACGATAGCCGCTTAGTGCAGTAAATTTTGCTCACTGACAATTATCCACATTACACATATTATTAGTTAAACAGCATGCGATTAAAGTGGAAAGGAAATAAAATTAAAAATTGCCAATGTGATATCAATGAGGACCGATTTTCGTGTTCTTTCGCGATCCCATATTGGCAAGCACTTAAAAGCACTGGTGGCGGTGCTACTCATATTAAACTACTTAACTGTTGCTGCACGCTATTGGATCACATTTGATTGGGATAACAAGCTCTCGTGGTATATAGGCCTCTCTTTTAGTCTTGCTGTCTCTTCCAACCGGATATTATCCAACTATCAGTATCGGTATATAGGCCCAATCCCATGAAGGTACAATAGTTTTATTGAACATCATGTCCTCTACTGTTACCTTAATTACTTCTGGCTCACGGAATGTTGTCAAATTTCATATATGACTCAAAATTGTTCGATAAAAAACTAAATTGAAAGATAATCTGAATTACAAAATTTATCTTTATAAATATCTTTTAATTCATCCAGTCGAAGTTCTTTTGTCGAACATTTGTCAGCAAAGCAGACAAATGTCATGTCAAAAATCAAAATATAATATTATTATCGAGAACTTCAGTTCGATTAAGATCAGAGAAATTAGCCACGTAGCAAAAGACAATACAACAGGTGTAAAAAGCTTCTTCTAGCGACAGTACTAGCGACAACAAAAAGCTTTTTGATGAGAACATATACACATTAGCGCTCATCAAGCTAAATAACGCCCTTGAATTTGCAATCCATATTAATCACCACATGAAAATTTTCTCATGGCTAATGAAGTGATTGCGTGTGCTGCTCAGTGCTAAGACGGTAAAATACATTTGCACATGGTCCACGTACTAAGTACTTATGTTTCATCGTAGAGCGTACTTCGTCTTCACTTCATAGGTATGCATATGGACACCAGGAAGAACTGAACTTAACATTGGTCTTTAAAAACACATTCCAACTCGAGTCGTTTCGTCCCATAAGTTTGTGATAAATCATGCTTGTAGAGTGAAATGCGTTTTGAAATGGGCACTAGGGGACTCGATGGGCGTGACTACCATCATAAATCATTCCTCGAATTCAAAAATTACTAATTACAGTTACACGATCTCCAAATAATAGATTTGCTCGATGTTTTTAGAAATGTCCCATCCTTGAAACTGTATAAAATTGCAGGGTTTGATTGTACAGGAGCCATATTTCCGTTAACACATTTTATACAATCAATGCTCGTTGGTCGATCTAAGATTAGATTTATCCTATTATTTTCATTTATTTAATACGAATCACCAGTAAATTATCATTTAACATTAACGTTTAATTTAGTCAACTTCGCAAAATCAATTGGTGATGTTTAGATCTGAGAAGAAGTACTGTAAAACTAAATCACCCTTAGTACCCTTGCCACCAGTGGTACTAATATCGTGTACATAACACAATATCAAGTCTTCTCAACAAACGTGCTTCAAGTCCTCATTTTCAGTGATTGCTGTAAAACTAACTTGAACTTTGAAGTATAAGAGTTGTTGAACTTTGAAGTATAAGAGTTGTGAACTGTGAACGGCAGTACGCAGGTCCAAAGCGTACATCTGACAAACGAATCTATGATTGAAAAAGATGTAAATCAGTCATGGTTTTGTTGACTGTATTGCAGAATACTGATTTTCAAGTCCTCTCTCCGTTGGTTGAATCGTAAAGTTCATTTTCAGTTCCACTTTCACTGCTATGGTTTCTCCTCTTTCCCAGAAGGGGTGAAGTTGCTGAGGTGTATTCTGATTTTGCTCCAATTACTTCCCTCATGTAAGGCTGAAAGAACATTTACTGTTATACTCACTGCTCTATTAACATTAAGTTTAACATTTAATAGATAGCTGCGGTTAAATGTATTTCAAACTGTGTTTATCATTTGTAATTCTCAACAGATTCTTTCATTTCATTTACCTTGTCATAAGCTGATATGACGAATATGGTGTTGATGAGACCATGAAGACAAAGAGAGAACCCGAAGATGGTGGCTATAGAGTTGTAGGACATGTAATCGTACAAAATACCTCCCACCGCGTTACCTGCACCCTGTTGGGACATGTCACATGAAATGTAGCACGTGGTCTCTTATACTTCGGTACGTGGGTTTAACATTGATCTTATAACGGAGGCACTTAATCTTACGTTCAGGAACTAATTTTATAATTAAGCGCATGAGTTTATGTGACCAATCATTCATGCGGTAAGTTTTAGATTAAATTAGACCAAATGTTGAAGAATTGTGGTCGATTGAATCAGATAATCAGGAATCAGCTCATAATTGATAGAGGGTGTTTCAAAAGTCTGGAAAGTATGATCTTATTAACGATTAAATGTATTATACTCATATAGCTCAGACCATACGACATCATATTAAACTCCGGCCTTACCTCACCCAAAGAGAAAGTAACAAGGAAGATTGAGGTGATGTAAGCAGAGTAGTCGGTATCTCTGTCAGGTTGGATTCCTCGCCACATGGCTGTCAGTGATCTCAGACCTGGTCCACAGGCCACTCCGAACCCAGAGGCTGTGTAAGTGAGATATTTTAACCATGAAGCTGTTTTAACGATGTTGTAGTGCGATGTTATATGCAGTCTTAAATTATAACAAAACCTAAATTAGGACATCATTCGAGTTTAAGATTATTTCACTCGAATGATTTGAATATTTTTATTATTGAAGCAATGCTGGATGTTTTTTAAAGTGACCATTTTGGTTTTTACAGTAATTAATGCAAAGTGTACAACTACCAACTTACAGCTGATTGCGAACCCAATGAGGATCCAATTGTAGGAGGGAGTGAAAGGGAGGAAGAACGCGGGACCAATCAGTAGATTACCGAACGCTTGGATGAAGGGACATATTGCAAAGACCCAAAGTGCCAATTTTTTGAACCTGGAACGAAATTTATCGTTTGCAGAATAAATATGTATAATCTTGATTTGCGTGACAACATGAAATCTTTGGTACTTTAACGCTGATACCCAAATTCAAACATCATAGATTGAAATGCAGCAAGAAAGCTTTAACTTTGTAGCTTGTGGTATAACAGTAACTAACCTGGGGATATCAGTAAGGAAGCCTGATAAGATAACAAACACTAAGTATCCTACTGCGTCCACTAGAAACAGGACTCCCGCCGAAACTGATCCCTTGTCAAAGGCATCGTCAATATAGGGTGCTGTAATTATGATATCTAGATTAGCTTTAGAATATCACAACGAAGTTCTGCTATATGGATTCTTTGTAAACAAATAGAGATGATGGAATGATATTTCACATAAAAGGTGAAAAATGGTACACAAAAAGAACCGATGAGAAAAGAACCGAACAGATAATTTAAGTAATTTCAGGTATTTTAGTATCAGTGACAAACCTGTTATAGTTAAAGGTAGATTAGTAACAAAAGATCCGTAGAAGGGTAAGAAAAGAGTTAGAACAATTTGCCAGTAACTGAAAGTAGTTAGTTTCAGAAATTTAAGCTTCAGATCAACGTTCAAATTTTATTGTCAATCTTTCGCAGCTCGGCGTCGCCCAATGGTGCATGATCGCGCTAAAACGTTCAAATGATGTTAAAAAATGATCTTAAATTTATAGATGATTTAAGTTACGCTTTATGAAAGCTTAACAATTAACTGTATTGTCTTTTAACCTCAAAACTTTCAAAAATCCCCCACTGCTGTTACATTCTTCTGAGCCAGAGTTTGGTCTAGAATAGGTTCTCCTTTTGAACTTAACGTTCAACTCTCGTGAAACTTGTCCCACAAACCACATAAAAACCACCGTTGCCAGGCACATTGGTAGTAGACACGTTGTGGAAAACTTCCCTGTCCTGCAAAAATATCTTAAACACAAAGAAATGTCTGAATCTCAGTTGAATTATCAAAATAGCCAGCGCAGTGAACTTGAACTATCAATAACATATTCTTACTAATACTATATAGCTAAAAATTTATTTACCATGTGTATAGAGCTCCTCCTAGAATTGGTCCTATCAAACAGCCGACGTTAATAGCGGTTTCAATGGCCGCTGAAAATGAGAATTTAATGATAGATTTCAGTTATGATCTAGCAATTATAAACTTTTCAACATTTATGCTTTGAAAACTATTACAATTACATACTACGCACAATTGAAGTAAAATTGATTTAGCTTGCTATGTTCAATATTAATCGGTGACTTACCGCTAAAGGCACCTATTCTACCAGGAAATTTCCTTACAAGAGTTGTGCTAAGAATATTCTCGAAAACCCCTGCTGAGAAACCAGCCAGTGCTCTCAACGATATCCCCACGCCTGGAAGCTGCAAGGAAATTTCAATGTGGTTATAACTTCCTAAGAAATAGTAGTAGTATTAATAATAAACATTAAATCTAAACACGCGATGTGGTGACATTAGAATCTAAACATAAGACTAAATTTGAGTCACAAATCTGCGGAACGATGTGCAATGGATTTTAACAGAGGCCTACCTTGAATGAAGTTGCCATTATTATATCCGACACAAATTGGGCTACCTCATTCAAGTTCAATTGTTAATCATATGATAGTTTACAAAAGACTTGATTGGATAGTAAATCTCACTCACCAAATATCGAGGTAACCCGATAATGAAGGAGAATGCGATCCCAGATATTAGAAAAATGAAATACGATACGACCATTATCAAATTTGAATCCAGACAGTCGTCTAATTTTGGGGACACGATGCACGACAAAATGTACGTAAACCTGAGGATGAGCTTGGTTACTCGGCGCTAACGATGATCGTTCGTAATTGGATCGACTTAGCTGATTGAATTAAAGTTATACATTTCTTTTTGCAATGTAACCAACAATTTTTAAATAAAAAGAACAGTAAATTTAAATTGATATATACATAAAACCTATTAATTCTTTGCGAATGAGTTCAAGAACCTAACAGAATAAACAAAAGGCACAGTGATTTTCAACCATGCCGAAACCCAACAAATATTTTGATTAGTCCCACAATTTAAATTAGTTGTAATATCTAACGTTGAAGATGATATGATGATGGCAGATGTGCTCTCCGGAATGCCATAATCTTGTCTGAGAATGACTGGCATGTATGTGGAGGGCATGGTCTGGAACAGGAATGTAATCCCAAGAAGTATGAGTCCAGGCGTTGCGTCCAGTACTTCCCGTAACATCCTCCTTTTCAGGGTTCTAGTATCCTGCTCATATCAACAATTAAAACTGGAAACATGTTCGAAAAATTGTAAAACTAAGCAAAGGCTTTTAATTCACGAAAAGCGTTTTTATTTCTTAAATCACTTTTAGGCAAGAAAATAGGAATTTTGTGTTTCAGCGTTGGGAGTCGGAACTGATGCTAGTATTTCAAAACATGATTTTTAGCTTTCACGAAGAGAAGTTTGGGAGCAAAATAACACAATTATGCATATGACACCATCTGAAAACACCAATGTGCAAGAGCAAGAAAATTGTCTAATCGCAACTTATTCATCATAAAAACTGAAATAGGATCATCTATTTGCTTCCTATGTGATATGCAGTGGCTTGAGTGGTAAGTGGCTGGGCTATGACAAGGATGGTAAATGCGTTTTGGGGAGACTACGCGTAGGTACTACGCATACGTATTTCCCGATGATAAATTACGTATTTCAAATTAAGTTGCAGTAACGCGCGAACATCTATATATAAATATTACATTATAGTATATGGAATCGTGGCTTAATTGGTTAATACGCTAGCTCCATATCAGCAGATTGCGAGTTCGAGACTCGGAACACGGAAAGGATAATTTTTTCCCATACTTTTTGGCAATTATGAATAACTAATGAATAACTAAAAATACCTCTGTAATATAACTAGCAAGGTGAAATGAAATCGTCATCCGGCCGAAAAATTTATTATAGCCGTTTTAAAAGTTTATTATAGCCGTTTTTTCTTTCCAGGCTGGATTCCTAGTCACTTTTTAAACTTATGCCACTGGGAAGTCCGTGTTAATCCGGTAACCGGTTTCAAAATTCAAGCAAGAGAGACTTGTGATCTTAGTCTGCGAATATTGTAATAGATAAAAATGCACTGGAACTGGGTCTCGGTTGAAAGTCTATTCCTCGAGGGAGGCATAACTGCTTTATAACCTGAGAAGCTCTGCTCTGCAGCAGACTGACTGATTGGTTGGTTCAGCATAAGAATAGCAAGTCGCTGCAGCGTTTTCATTCGAGCACCGTGAAGTCTCCAAAACGACTGTCAGTATTGCTATATTAATATACCACTGCACACTGGGCCAGCGACGCACGCGCAAATATCACTAATCTGTAATCACGTATTTCGAAAGAGATACGCGCGTATTTTGAAAAATTTTACCATCAAAGAATTTAAGCGCCAAATTTTGCCGTATTTCACGTATTTCTTAGAATTTTTGAATACGGCGTATTTACAGGCGATTTTTTGACGTATTTACCATCGATGGATTAATCACGAGTCATTATTTCTGTCTACTTTCAACAATTATTGATAATTCGACTTGTTTCACAAGTTTTAGCAATGCGAAAATTTCTAAACTTGATTATCTCTAATAAGGAAATTTACATCTGAGACAAAATTTTTGAATCTAAAATTGAAAGGTTTGACACCGGTAAAATGTCGACCGGGAAAATGTGATGGGTTTTGAGCAATTTCGCCATATTTTTCCCGAACCATATTTTAACCGGTCGTTAAAGGGATCATCAAGTGTCCCCGACTTAATCGTCAAAACATTTCACATATACTATCACATAGAAACACTAATATAAGAATAGGGCTCGGAATTCCCAGATTCGTAACTTAATTATGTCGCGTGAAATCGATACTGGAATATCGCCCTATTTTGTTGGATTGCGGCTAACTGTCAGACACCGCAATAGAAACAGTGTTAAAATACACATTTTTATTCATGTGCTGTGGCGCCAATTTAATTGATAAAATCTTCAAATTAACGACACTTGATAGATTTGAATTGACTTTTATCTTTCGAAAATTGTGGTTGTATAATGTGCATAATATACACAAGCGTCAAATAATTGTCTTATAAATTTCCTAGTAAAAGCTCTTACGGGCATTTTCTGCTCGATACGCTAGGGACTCCACATACATCTTTCTAGACGTACTTTTGACCGTAGAATCGATTAAACGTGGTTTTGAAATGATAAGTCTGAGTTTCCCCAGGTAAAATCGCAAAAACTGATTTTTGGGCCAAAAATATGCCAAAAAACCATGTTTTTTGAATTTTTGAGCAAGTTAATTTCGTTGGCATATCAGCAAAATGTGCATGAAGATAGCTGATACACAGCCGCACATGATGGCATTAAAATTAAGCTATTATTCCAGGATTTCGTGCTACATTCAAGTTCCATGAAGTGAGCTGCCTTTAATTGCTTGTAGGAACTAGATTAATCGCTGTACACCAAATTTAGGAAGATATGTGAAATATAATGGTTTATACCTGATGGTAATCTTGTCGGTTCAAAAACATAACCAACAGAAAACTTGTTATGGACGATTAAAATCAGGTGTTTTTACACATGTCGTATATGCTATCCTGTCACCTAGCCGCAACTTGGAAAAATGTAATTGATATGCCCCATATTATCTCAGCTTGTGAAGCAATTACGACGGAGCTATTTTGGGATTGCGGCAGAATTACCAAGCCTAGCTCACTACCCAAGTTTCGAGTATTTTTGAAGAATTCGCAAATTTACACTTCATGATCTCGTCGCAATAATCCCGAGTAAGGTATAAGGACAGCTGTGCTCATCATATTTGGTCTCAACATTCCTCCTTATCTGCTTACTTGTATCAAGATAATATATATCTGTATCAAGATATATATCTGTAGTCTCGTGCGAACGTAGTATTTAAACTGTGCTACACTTCAGTCTGTTACTATGATCTGTGATAAATTTAAATTAAATTAAAATTTGTAAATGTTCAAGTAAAAGAAGGCTGTTATAAATGAGAATTTCACTGTAGTTTGCTTGCATCAAGATACCTTACTAGCTTGCATCAATATTAAACTTATAGTATGGTAGTAGTATGCTGTTATATGGTAGATCTAAATGAACTCTACTACACTTCAATCTGTTACTGATCCGTATAAGTTTTAAAAGGAATTTAAAGTATACAGCTGTCGAAATGGAAACTCGTTACTGGACTGGAGTGGAATAAAGGCAGCGATCTCGCTGCCCGGGTGGTCAGCAACTCTGATGACCCGATAGAGGATTCTATGAAGCACACCAAAGTAACCAAAGTAAATATACGAACTGAACTCATCTGACCGATATGGTGCGCAAATTTCTTTAAAACCTCTACATTACTTTTTCTTATTCATGTCATCTTTAACATTGAATTAGAATTTTGAACTTGAATATACCTGCTGAACTACTTTCGATGAGTCTAAATGCCTGAAAAACAATTAAGGGGTATAATAGTAAAGGGGGTATAAAAGTAAAAGGGGTAAATAGTAAAGGGGGTAAATAATAAAGGGGTAAATAGTAAAGAGGGTAAATAGTAAAGGGGGTAAATAGTATTGTGAAAATAAGAGGCACGGTCATGCTTGCCAGCATTGTGATACCGTACACCCCGATATTCCATTCCCAAAACTGTACGGTAAATCGGGGTTTTGCTGTATTTAAAGAGAACTGAGGTAAAATTAAATGGATACCAAATCAAATTCAAATCAAAATTCCAGTCATTTCTTAGACTTAGAGATAGTGGGATGAAATAAACTTATAAACAGAATGGAATTTTATCGGTAGGGATCAAAGTTTTCTTCAACCTATCGGGCTTATTATTTCCATGGTAACAGTTGCGGTTCAAAGATAATGGAAAATTGAATAAACGCACAAGGATAAGATAAAGTGGCAAATAAAAATCACTGGCATACCATATATTATATATTTCTACGACCGAAAGTTGGCAAGGATATCAAAACAAATGCTTTGTTATAAACCGAGTATGTGACTATCAGAATTCAGATAGACACATAGCTGTCAACAACTTTGGTCTTAGTTAGTTCACAGGTTCACTGTCTCTCTCTCTCTCAGTCTTACGGTCAACGGAAACTGGCCTCCAGCGGTAAGCGGGAAGCCTTCTCGCAAAGTATATGCATATAATCATAAAAAAATAAATATCAACAGAACAGACCTCTGGAGTCTTGAAGCTGTCACTATCTGGCTCAGAGCATGAACCCGTTGTAGAACTTTTGTGGGCAGACAAGGGACTTACGAGTAAGGTTAGTTCACTGTATTAAGTTACTGAATTCATCTACGTTTAGCATTTATAAAACCTTACAGCAGTGATAAACTTTAAAATGACGCTTGACTGTTGATTGTTTAATGGTTAAAATTTCAAGTTATAGCATAATCAATTTTAGTGACAAAAAACTATTTGGTTCAGTTATTAGATTTTGACTAATATTTGGATCTAAATTTAAGTTGAAAGTGTTGCAAACCAACGTCGAGTATGAGTGCGCACGAATTGGACATTAAAACATATGCTCTAGTAGTAGGGAGAGGTTGAGTGTGCACTTCACTGCATAACGTTTTTTTATACTGAATCGGGTTAAATAGGTCATTGGTAACTCAAATCACCGAACGGCAAATGTTGTGTCGCTAGTCCCAACCCTGTGGGGGCCACGCCCATATTTTACATTAGGCGCATATATGGAAAATCTCAGCTTCTAAAATAAGTCTTAGGGACTCAAAGTTTGACATCAAATAACCGCAATTCACATGCGTCATTTTATGTCAAAATCAAACATGCGGTCATTTTATATGAAAATTTTCACTGGGGCGAGAGTGAAAAATCTACTACAACTTTTCTAGAAATCAGGTTCTTTGTATGGTCATTCTGGATCAGAATTGATAAGGTACGCAATTTCGATCAGTAGTTCCAACCCTAGGGGGAAATTTCTAAATTACCCTCAGGCGCAAATATATGACTTTTGTATCTCGGCTTCTGAACGTTGTAGGGGCCTCTAAAGCAACATAGGGTTTATAGTGCTTAGTTTTGGAGATATTCATTAAAAACTGTTTTAATTTTCGTGCATCCTAAAATAGTAACATCAAACATGTACCTAATTTTGGTATTCCAGGCTGAAAAATTCTTACAGACACTTTATTTGCAGCACAGCAAAATGTTCAGCATGAACACATTCAGATAATATTTAATATTTATGGAGCAAAACAATTCAGTTTCAGAAGCTCCTTCCAGCTATTTTATCTTATCCCCAAATGTATACATCTAACCACCAACTCTGGTTACCTCAAACTACTTCAATTATACATGAATATCTAGCTATCTCGTTATAGCTACCACAAGTTTGGCCCTCTCCAGTACTGTTTGGCTATTATGGCTAGTCAACTTCAATCCCACCTCATGAAGTAGAATCTACTTCTAGCTACCTTCAATTCTGCTACCTCCATGCCATGCCAATTCTACCCAGCTACCTCCAGCACGTTATAATTCTAGCTCTTTCTAGTAACCTCTGAATGCTACCTCCTGCTCTATACAGGTACCACCAGTGGGCAGAAACCAAAAATTCCAGCTCTTTTCACCTACTTAGGCTACATCTATTTAGCTACCACCAAGGCCCCCTGGCCCCTACAACTTCTGCTGTTTCTAGCAAACAGCAACATTGTATCATTTGGGACGGTAGTGTCAATGGTAAAGTGAGTATCATGTGATCCGCTTTAATGTCCATTTGACGTAATGTCCAGATCGCCGTGCCTATACTGACGATATTTATGAAACCATATAAACATAGTACAAGTACAAAATTCATTCAGATGTGAAAGTATATTATATTAAATCTCAGTCATATTATTCTAGACGACAAGTTTATGATTAATATAATCATACTGTCAAACCTTGCAGCCCGAGTAGTATAAAGATAATGAAATCGAACTGTACATTCTAGCTTTAATACACTCCGAGAATATAATATAGAATGGTATGTATTCATGAATTGAATCCGGGCGAGTGATCGATCATCGAAGGTTACTAAGAATTAATGGTGACTGTTTGATAATACTGTTAAACATGACTCAAAAAGCATTTGAAATAATACGTTCAATATTTCAAATCGATTCCATTCATGAACTTGTCAAACAAACGGAAACTATTCAATCCAATATTATTACACAATTCACCTGCCTAGAAGATGTTGTTATCTCTTCAAGCTTGGAATCAATCTCTTGGTACCCAGTGATCAAATCCTGGGATTCCAGCACATGAACAGAACGAGTTCCGCCCATCACCTTACTGGATTTTATACTTGATGAAAGTATTGTGCCATTCAAGCTTCCTTCTCGTGAGTGAGTCAACGTCAGGGGTGGTCTTGACATTCCTCAGCATCAACTGTGGGAGATCAGGTTAGTCTCACTTTTATCTGTCATGGGGGGGGGGGGGGGGGGGGTGGGTGGGGGTCAGGCTCTAACCTGAGATAAGTCAACATAACAATTAACAAGCTACGACCTAGGTATAGTAGTTGGTACCCTAATATTAGGTACCCTTTCCCTAACAATTGTTGAAAACCACATGTTTCTCTCGCTCTGTTGCCTTTTGGGATATTGCATATGGACAATTTACTTTCAATAAAGGTATTGAGTCAGAGCCTTCGTCGCTCGGCTCGACTATTATATTGGTTGCAGGATCAGGGTTACGCAACCTTCGAAAAGCAAACAATGTTGCAATAAATAATTAAAGGGATAGATCAAAGAGGAATCCAAAATTTGGCAATCTGGCTGCCGAGGCCCCAACATTAGTGCGAAATGATCTCTGGTTAATTGTAATGTAAGATTACAATTAAGATTATAATTAATGAATTCATGCATATGGTGAACGTGTGAGAACTGAGCTTATCTTACTTAGGTGATCCTGGTGAATCAAATAACAATCAAAGGTTTGTGATAAACTAATGTTTGGGTCAAAGTACGGAAAAGGAATAATTAACACGTGGCGAAATATACCAAGGTCGAAATTGGGAAGTTGCCAACTGTGCCAGACGGTACCAGCCAATGTTACTAGTTAGTAGTTAGTCTGCAATTATGACGTTTAAGTTAAACTTGATTATACCATCAACTTTTCCATTTTAACAACTTATGTACACAAAACTTATTTATAGACCATAAAACTATTGTGCATTTTAGTTTAATTTGAGTTCACTTCACACTTCTTCTCTTCTTCAAACATGATCAACACCTAGACAAAACACCTGTGTTCAGTGCCACCTTTCTTCATAGACCAGCACAGGTTTCAAATTTTGGACGAATTTTCTTTTATAGATCTCATCAACTTGTGCAGCTGTGTTGGCTCGGCCAGGTTTTAACAAACAATAGGCCGAGGCGAGATGGATATATCGATTGGGGATCAAAATCTTAGGTATCACTAAAATCAACTGTGTTGTGGAAATTTGAATCGTATTGTCACCATAAAGTCAAAGCTTTAAAGGGAGAGAGTTTTAAATTTATCATTATCTTCATTCGTTAAGCCCTCTCAATCGACCGATGAAGACACGTAACTGTAATCATTTTGAAACCGCCCTTGCATTTTATTTGCAGAGATTATTAAGTCTAAGAAATTTAAGCCGATGGAGTTTATTTAACTGCTGCCACTGTTGGTTGTAACGCAATCATCAGATCTTATGTATAGTGTATGCTCCTTTGCATCGGTCTGTGTAAGTAATAACAGGTATATGTAATAACGTACTTAACTAATAGTTATAATTAATGCTCTTATAACTAAATGGCTATACGCATTACATGAACAACAGCTTTCATGCTAACAAGAATGGAAAATATTGTTGCGGAACAAATGATACAGAATTCGTGTACTTGTGCCAATAATCACAAAACAAAGAAAAATTTTAATTCACTGCAACACGCACTGTAAATTGTATTCAGGGTCGAAGCGTTCAATTATATTTGAGGGTTATCGTATGACTTATTACGTCTTCAAATCAGACCACTTGAGGTAACTTGACCTGTGATTTGAACCCGACACAGACTGAACCATGTTAATATTAGAGTCTAGAGCTAACTAGTTGGCATGGCAGGTCTGACCGTTCTGTAACTCGCTAGCGTTAGTTTTGTCAGTTTATCAAACCAACTTTAAGTTTAATATTCGTATCGGTTGTTCTCAAGGCGCTAGAGTCTTTGAAAAATGTTTTTGTTATAGCAATAAACCGGCCATGTGTGTCACCTCAAAGTTAATTACCTCAAAGTAATTATCAAATTAGCAGACAATGTCGGACTGTCGTGGCATATTTGAACCCACCTAGTATAGCCATAGGAACCGACCACATATCCCGCTGAATCCGGTTCCGGCCGGATATTCGGCTTCAATATCCGGTTCCAGTTCCGGTCCGGTTTCCGAAAATTTTGCCGGATATTTCTTGAATAAAATGTATTAAGTATTTCTAAAATCTTGAAATGCATTTTTTTCGTCACATTTTGACGAATTATTACATCAAAATTTGTTTGACTTGAAACGTGGAGAAAAGTGGTTTCCAGAAAGACTTTGAAAACATTTTGACTTACAAAATTTTCGGTCCGAGTCATTCTCAAAGTCAATACGTACCCGCTTCCGAGCTCGTGTTGCAATTGCAAAGGGGAGGCCTACCTTCTGAGATTGCATTACAAGGAGGAAGCATCGAGTCCAAAATTGTGTATCGAGGCCCGAGGTACGGACTTCGGAAAACCAAACAAAATATTTTCGGCTAATAATATTAATGGACAGGGTATGATGAAACGTGGAGAAATGCGGTTTTCAGAAAAACGTTATTAAAAAGAGTTCGGGAAACCGAAAAGCCAACCCCCACCCCCTAGTACTCTGAACCGGGAACTTCTGTGCCGCTTAATTGGAAGTACGAACCAGTGATTTAGTGCGCCTGCATGTTATAAAGGTAATATATATTGTGCCCTGAATATCGGGAACTATTGTGCTTTGATAATTGATATTCAGACCTGCATGACAAAAAGGGAACAACTGTGTCTCACACGTGCAATCGCGCTTAAGGGGTCTGGTAGGATATGCATATGCCAATTGCACATAATTTCTGATAATAATTTGTCTACTCTTGTTACTTCTTGTTAACTTTGGTAACAACGTACTGCTTGTTAATTTGATATTTGACTTATGTCTACTGCTAGGCCTAAACAGCAAAACTCATCGGTGTAGTTGTATTACTCTTAGGAATGCGGAACTTATTGTATAATTACAAACTATGGCTTATAACATGTATGTTATAGGATGTTTGTATAAGGATTAATATCATAGTTGATAATGACAAAAGCCCAATAATAAGGATTAATTTAAATTTTCCGGAAAAATGCGGCATATTCCGGCAGCTTTATATTTGCCCTTCCTAACAACCGGTTCCGGTCCGGCTAACCGGATAATAGATTGCTATCCGACAAAATTCGGTCCGGCAGCCAAAAGCCCATTCCGGTCGGTTTCTAAATTTATTTACCCTGCACCAATATAGTCCTCACAACATAAACGCTCTTATTTACAAGCACAATAACGGTAAATCTTTTTGCAGATGGCTTTATGAACGTTGGAAATGCGAAAAATGATAACGTAACACCAAAAGGTTTGAAGTAATCACATAACACTACCTTACTCGGGATTATTACGACGGGTTTATTAACGACCGGTTAAAATATGGTTCGGGAAAAATATGGCGAAATTGCTCAAAACCCACCACATTTTCCCAGTCGCCATTTGACCGGTGTCCAACCTTTCAATTTTAGATTCAAAAATTTTGTTTCAGACGTAAATTTCCTTATTAGAGATAAGCAAGTTTAGAAATTTTCGCATTGCTAAAATTTGTGAAACAAGTCGAATTATCAATAATTGTTGAAAGTAGACAGAAATAATGACTCGTGGTTAATCAAACTTCGAAAGAATGCATCGTTCACATTGTTTAGAATTATGAATAAATGACTGATGAAACTGATTCATGTTATTGACAGTTTTAATTAATTCAAGTTTTAATTTAACTGTTACTTTTACTTTGAGTCTTATTTCATTATGTAGAAATAGTCAATACCTAAGAAATTAAAAATTGGCCTATTTAAATAAACAATTTGACTATAAGGATATATGACAAGAATTGGGCAAAAAGGTGAATTTTTTGCAATTTTAGCCAAATGAAGTCGAAAAACCTACAACAAGTGTCCCAGTAGTCTTCTTTAGTGAATATAAGACAACGATTAAAATATGAGCACCCATACCCCTTGGGAACCCTAAAAGCTGAGACGGCGGGTTTATTAACGACCGGTGAAAATGTGGTTCGGGAAAAATATGGCGAAATTACCCTAAACCCGCCACTTTATCCCGGTCATAATAATCCCGAGTAAGGTAATCGAATTGGGACTGATCAGTTGGTCAATTATCTTAATTTGATTTAATGAGAACGATCAGGGTCCTTATCTTATAAATATCTCGCCTAAATTACTAAACCAAGTACATGTAATAAAAATAAAATTAACCAACTGATCAGTCCCAATTCAATTATTGTTATGTGATAACTTCAAACCTCTCCATGCATGAGGGGCACTGCACGGTTCACCGTTCACGGACCAGTTTAACGCGTACAACGTACGTGTTTAATAATCAAAGAATCCAGTTAGGGATCGTTCACATATTCTCGTAATCAAGACCCAACCCCCCTCCTATATTACGTAATCAAGATTAGACACCCCCCCCCCCCCCCCTATCACAACGGATTAATGAATGAAATAACTTACTAAACGAAAATTGGTTTAAAAAACGAAAATTTTGATAACATAATTAACGAAAATTGTCCAATTGGTATTTCGAAAATCGGTATAAAATTAAAATTTTGATTACGTAATCAACAAACCCCCCCCCCCCCCCCCCCGTAATCAACCGTAGGCGTAAGCATTTGAAACCCCCCCCCCCCCCCTGGGCTGATTACGTAATATGTGAACGACCCCTTAATCTCTCATTTTCCTGTTAACATTTGATACAAAAAATAACAAAAAATCGTGCCAAAATCTGGAAAAATTAGGCTAAAAGAAAATAATTGCCAAGACTAGGAGGCAAACATCACGAAATGTTTATTACTTATGGTGGTCATAAGGTAGCAGTTCGCGGTTCTATGCGGTGCAAATACAGAGATAATCGCCGCTGGAGCTTTATATGAAAAGCTGCATGACATTGCGATACTATAAAATTGCTAAAATGAAAGACGTGACATGTAAAATCATCAACAGTGAACAAAGATTACCAAATACAGAAATACACAGCAGAAGAACCGGATATTGGACTGACATATCAAACTAGTCTATTTGGCTGCTGAACCAGCTGTCACTGCATGCTGTGCAGATAAATTTGATTCATTTTCTGATAAGAAGGGAGAGATAAACCTGTTTGCTTGTTTACCAGCTTTGTGTTGGGTTTTAATACATTAATTGTAGATAAAAGTCTGTATTCCTCCGCTCAGTACACACTACACGTGGAAGATGGAGTGATACTAACGGTGTTCTGACTAATTAACTGATTAGCTAATTATCGGTGGTAATTACGCAACTGAATAAGTAGTCTTCCTCAGACGATTTAAATTACAATTAGTTTACAATTACATAACATACAGGGTGGGCCAAAAGTCAGTGTGCAAACGTTTGGTCTTATACCTCCGCGCTTTATTTTATATTTGAGAGCTGTTGCTTTGCAAATGGCATACTGTACCTTCTTGTTCGAGGATTTCGTCGCCAAGATTTGAAAATCCAAATATTTTAGACCACGCCCATTCAATATTAAAACACCTATATTGTTATCTTTGAACATGATCGATGGATGCCTAATTTTTTAGAGACGGTAGATTATTAAATGTTGCATCTGATCTGAACAAATGAGGCAAAACGGATTAGAAATGACGAAGTTATCAATCATTTTGTGTATCTTCGTAAAGAAAATTGACTGGGTGATTATGTGACAGTGACACTGACAGGACACCTTAATTGGGCAGCAGCTTGACGATTCCTGTAATGTTTAACGGGATGGTTAACGGGGTCACCTAAGGAATACAAAGAATACAAGGAATACAAGGAATACAAGGAATACAAGGAATACAAGGAATACAAGGAATACAAGGAATACAAATTTAAATCTTAAGTTACAAATACAACAGCAACTGTCAAGATAATAAATATAATAATATTATAACTCGCCCCTCTCCATAATGATAATGCTAATATTCACAAATATAAATAGAATTTAACTACATTAAATCTTTTATTTCATAAACTTCGATATATCGCCATTTGCATAGGGTACCCTTGCTCGATGAGTGTAGCTTTGTAGGCAACGGTGCTCAATCACGTGATTAGGTTAACCAATCACCTGATCACACGTGATGAATAAACTCGTTATGCTTCTTATCTCGGTTATCTGAGAAGCTACAACTCTAATTCTTTCAGGAAAAACTTAATTCGAATGGCCAAACACAATTCAATAAAATATAGCTCGATCCGACTATCCAAACTATCAAATAAATGGGAAAATGAACCTTCATTCGAAAAAAATGAACACGAATATTTTTCGATTTGACAAATTCTTCGAACCAGTGGTACGGTGAGTCATACCGGAAAGAATTATTTCGATTGAGCACTCAGTGACTGAGCTATTAAGGCCAACGTTTGCACAGTTACATTTGGCCCACCCTGTACAAAATTACACGACTAATTGGCGATAATCAAAATTATTTATTTCAATCCCCTATATGTACAAAATATATATATATATTTCGTACATATAGGGGATTGAAATAAATATATATATACAAAATTAGATTTAAATAACAATAATAAACATGACTACTGCAAAAGACACGTTGTTGCTGTTATTTGCTGGCAACGGCTGGACTAGGTAGTTAAATAATTAATGGCTAATTATCGGAAGTTATTAGACTTTTGCCAATATTATTATTGGTGTATTATGACAAATACTTGACCATATACTACGTTGTTTTACCTTGAAGTCGAAAAATTAAAAACAGATTTCATAAGTGGTAGTTTTTGGTGCTATGGGTAATACAAGGCTAGGTCCCTCCCGGTGTTGGGATGACCTGAGGTGCTTATCTCCTTTTCATTAACCTTAAGCCTGAAGCCACTCTGTGCCAAGGCACTATACTACTGTAGTATACTAGCTGTAGGGGGGTTAGTCGGGCGGGTGGTGTAGTGGTAACACGATTGCCTCCCAAGCCCCGGCTCCCAAGCAGAATGCCCGGATTCAAATCCGGTCGGATGCAAGTCGGCCAGTTACCAAGCTGTGATTTGGTACAACTTCGGCTGGTGATACGCACTCCCTGGCTATGGGTAATAACCGATGGCAAATATTAGTCGTGCATGGTATTTACAGAATCGCGTTTCTATCATTTTCTGTGGCGAATCAAGAATATATCTTTTTAACGCAAAATATCGCTACTTTTCGTGTGAATTTTTGTCTTGAAATGACTTAGTGTCACAGTGATTGTCACTAGTAACGTGACACCACAATATTAAACTTGTTAACCAGTATGTTAACTACTCTGTGGAATTTCACTTGTAAGATGTGGGGGTTTGCATATTGTTTAAAGATTTTCTGGACTGAAAGGGTAGAGCCCTGCATGAAGTGTGTAAATGCGTATCAAAGAGGAAAAGAAAATGCAAGATATTGGCCAGAGTGCAGAATATGATTAGAGTAATATTATGGCCGTGGCCTGGGAAAGATAATCCAAATTAACAGTATCTTCGATGAACTGTTAAATTTCTTATCTGATTTCCGAACTGCTGTTTTATCTTTGTACATTTTAAGATTATATGATTGGTGAACGCTACACATGTTTTATAACTTTTAAAGTTGTGCAAGACCTCAGATTGCTTATAATTTACTTTGAACTTGATATCACGAAATTGAACAAATAAAATAGAAGAAGTTCAGTGCTATCAAACTTAAAAAGTTGAATTCACATAATACAGTATGGCGAAAAACTAATTATCAATTCAATTGTAATTATACCATTTAAAAGTTACCAAGCATCTCACCAATAAATATCATGATCACAACCTTGAGTTATAATACGATTAACAAAAAAAGTCGATTTAAAATGTAATTGCATTCTTAAGCAACCACGATAAGTTCGATATCCAGTTATTTAGGGTCTTTAATTCTACTGACCGCACGAAGATTAACTATGGTTAACACGACTTGAGTTATCTATGGGGATTGGGGATCGTTCACATATTATTATCATCAAGCCAGATTTTTCCCATTTTAGACCCTCTCTCCTCTACTAAATTACTTTCACACATAGCTATTAGACATTTTGTAGAAATTAAGATAGCCTTAGCAATTCCAATCACCCTCCCCTTAGGCTGCTAACGTAATATCTGAACGATCCCAAGCCATTAAACACAGATGTTGGTAACATTTTGTGGGAGTGGCAAAATATATAAAGTTTTATTGCATACAAACAACCGAAACATGGACGAATAATTGATAAAATTTATCAAGGTTTACTGCATACCAACTTTAACAAAGACAAATAATTGATAAAATATATCAAACACAGACTAATAGAGTGACCAATAGCCGCACAGAAACATTGGCACTGGTACAGATCAGTAAGAGGGCAATAACAATAACAGCAATAATAATGAATTGACCCGATAACAGTGCAGTAATTACCAGTTACAAGTTCATGTTTCTTCGCTGCACAGAAACATTGGTAACTTTGTTGTATGGCTCTTTAATCATTATTATACCCAGTAAAAATACTGGCATTATCGTAAGTCTTTAGTCATCATGCACAGTTAATCAATTCGTTAAGATAATCAAGTGATCCTAAAATTTCAAAATATCGAAGAAACCTTAAAAATTGCAGATCGCTAATAATAACGCTATAAAGTATAAACTATTAACATGATCATACAACTATTATCTTAGTTTGCATATAAACTCGATGACAAAACCTTACAAATATACATACACAGTAAATATGCATTACCAAATGAGCTGTTAACAGCGCCAAATATCAGTCAAAATGTAGATTATGATACTGATCGGGAAGTGAGCAATAGTATTTCTGACACGTGATAGAGATCAATAGATCAGCTTTTACTAATGACCAATCAAAACCCGTAATCACTGTCACGTGTCAAAACAAAATTGGTTAACCTCCCCGCCAGCATCCATATCTATGAAGAGTGAATATTGTTGCTATGAAGGCGATGCTCAAGAGGAGTGAATATTTGTTCATGTTCATTGTCCAACTAATAGAGCAGCTCTTTAAGCTGATTTCACCTCTCGCACATAATATGAAGACAATAAACCAAAGTTATGAATTAATTAGCAAGTATGTCATCTCTTTGAAAGAAACTGCACTAGAAATGCAGCCGCGAGGCTAATCCCAAATATCTTGAAGTAATATGCAGCAGCGCCCGTAAAACTGGATTCAGTTTTGATGTTCAATCTGTTTTCAAGTGTGATCACTTTTTGATGGAGAGCTAGGATTCGATTGGCGAGAGTTAAGATGTCTTCGTCTTGTTCGAAGTTTGGTGCAGCAGGAATCGGCCTAAGAATATAAAACAATGAAAATATGAACAATCCATTAGCAAACACTGATACAAGTGATGAGTTTTAAACAATCAGAAAAGAATGTTCCCAACTGACAATTTGATGGACAGAACATAATGCAAGGAAAGTTTCCCTATTAGTCAAATAAACCTCTCATCTACAATCGCCCAATATTCATATCTTAATCAGTCCAACTTACGCGGAAACAGAACCGTTGGTGTTGACATGAGATCTTCTTTTAACGTCCCCGACGGTAAGGACCCTGGGGGGTGTATCCAAGTGTGGAACGTGGTAAGGGTTAGTCATGTCGTCTACTAGCAGCCTGTCTGGAACCATCATCTGAAATATCTAGTTGAGTTGGAAATATGATGTGAACATTTGAGGTGTCCGTATAACAGTGAATGTATTGATGGAACCCTTTCCGTCAAATTTATACCCGTATTTGAATGTGTAAAATGAAATATCGTCTGACATCCCGATATCAGTTGTACAAAGTGGTCTAAAATTGTCGGGATTTAGCTTTTTAAACATTATAAAACATTGAGTCAGAAGGCCTGGAGGAGAAATCAGATACAGTGGCAAAACGACCGCTCCTGAAGGGGCCGGCTTTTTCCCGAAATTCAGGTATTTATCAAAGAAAAAAAGCCCAATTAGTGTATTATGCTGTCCAATTTAACGTTCGGTCAACGTGAAAAAGTTGGGGTCTTTTTTGCTTCCAAAAAAAAGCTGGCAAAAAGAAGGCCCGACGTTTTTTAAATTTTATTTAGGACCAATAAAATTTTTGGGGCGGCAAAAAAATTAGCGGTGGGGGCTGGGGCGGCACACATGTACGTTTCGCCACTGATTAGATAACAAAATTAATTATAAAACCATCAGAGCTTATCCATAATTATCATGCAACCAATGCTAGGAAAACAATCATAATTTTGAAACTAGAGATAATCCAAACCCGTTGAAAAACTAACGTTATCGCTGGTGTTACTCAAATCAGAGTTCTTCCTTGTTCTCAGATCGTCCGGGTCCACACTCAAATGTTCCGGTACCGACATACTGGAGAACCGATCCGTGCTCGAATTCCGCTCCGGTGTTCCCATGCTAAAATAGGAATATAAAGTGGAGTTAAAGTAGACGATACATTAGATCATACTACTCAGTATAAAAGTTTCGAATATTGAGTTAGATCATGCCCAGGTTAAACTTTAATATCTACAAATATTGCGAAAGAACGCGCGTGCAACAAATGCTAACGCGCTAAGATATACTGCTTCGCGCGTTCCTAAAAGTGAAATTCCTGAGTTCATTATTAGGGTGGGTCAATCAATTTGACAGCAGAGTAAAGCTTACACCCACTTTAAAATCTTGACTAAAATAACACAAGAGCTACCGTGAAAAAAAGCATTTTATCAACAATGCAATTTCATTCATTGGTTATTAGCGAATAATTCAAGATCCACACTAGGATTTCGCAACGTCACACCACACTGAAATAGTTCACAACACGGCAAAGTTAAACTACAATTCTACATAATAATCAAATTTTATTATTCAATAATTTAGATAAAAGGTAAATCTAAAACTGAAGTCTGATCACCTTAGAAAAAACAACAACCCAAACCGTATAAAGATCGTTTTTGGAAGATGTAAAAGATCGTATAAAGTTAAATCACAATTATTATTCACATTAGATGTTCATACATCATAAAGCACGTTTTTTAATCTCTTTTCTGATAAGCATTTCTCTTATTCTGATTTATTTCAGAAAACCTACCAAAATATCAATATATTATATTCACATAGTAAATCACAAAAGACGTTTCAAGAGATCCAAGATCCAAGACAAATCTTTGTAGATATATCAAAAGCACATACTTTTATGAAAAGAAAAAAAGTGTCATAAAACAGACAATTACACTGCGTACTAAATCACAATTCTACGAAAGATCTGTTAGAAAATTCGGCAAATAACTGAAGTGATTTGAAATGGCAAAAAAGTTGAAATTATAACGCACAATCACAAAATGCTACCTCTAAATAGCAAATACCGGCCCCTTTTTTTACCGCAAAACGATTTATAGTAACACTGAAACCTCAGCGACAGTTCACGATCAAGAATCAACTTGGCTAGCTCAACAATTTTACTCTTTGTATACCTCTATCGTATAGTATACATCTCTGTATAGTATAGTATACATCTCTGTGACACTACATGTTATTTTATCTAAGGTCGATAACTTGAGCCGTTAAACTGTTGTCCATTCTCACGTGTTTACAGTCCTGAAAGTTTAAAATTTTAATAGCTAATTGAATGATTAGCTAATTAACTAACACGCGTTAAAACCTGGATCACTGCCAAACATAACCGGTATTATTTATCAATCCAGCATGATGAGGACTAAACAAAACAACACAAACACGTACAGCCTACAGGCCACATTGTAAACAAGATACAAAGTATAATATTCAAACAGCAAACAAAAGCGAGGATTAAGAAATACGAAATGTTGGAGAACCGGGCAAGCTTTACAAGTAAAATGATCTGTCATACAACGTTACATAACGTTATGTAATGTTATGTAATGTTATGAAATGTAAGATTACAACAATAGACCAGGAAGTAAGAAACAAAGAGCCAGCAGCGAGCAGGGACTAATTGATCTGGCAATCTCAACACTAGATGTATACGGTCTAATGGCTGTACGCTGCACTGGGCCATAACATTGGTGTAAGTTTGTGAGTTTATTAATTAGTGACATTTAGCTTGGTATTCATGCAATGATCCGCTGCAGTTTGATCAGTTATTCGATCAAATAATTGGTTAATTAATTAGATAATCGGTCACGTGATAACTGTTCTTACCTCGAACAATGCAGGGATAGTGGGGTGGGGATGAAAGCCTGATTTTGTACACCTGCTAACAGATTCCATTCCGTGTGGGTCCGTCAGTGAAAATATTCCTGTACTGAAAGAGAGGTAAATTGAGGTTAAACTTGTAAACTTGTAAACATGGTAGAGGTTTTACTGATAAACATCTGGAACACATTTAGTTTTTTAATAAATTTTTGAAGTTTGTCTATGGTATAACTCCAATAGTTTGTCTATGGTATGGTATAACCGTATCGTATGGTATAACTTCAATATTTTAAGTAATTAGTGTAAGTAACATTCAATAAGGTCCAGGCACCTGGCACATTGCAAACTCCAAAATACCACCAAAATACCGATCATACTAGTGCTACATAATACATATCATGATATGCGTGTAATTTCAAATATTCAAATAATTACCACGTGTCAGCACAGTAGATTAGATGCTTACATTACATTATAAGATCTCCACATTTCATATTATTCTAATTGTCAACCAAAATTCGTCACCAAAATATTGAGTTATCTCTTATCTAGATCTCTTATCTATATTTCTTATCTATATCTTTATCAGATATAAAATAGGTACTAGATAAAATAAAACAAGATATTTTTTAAAGTTACACTCCAATCTTGTAATTAGTAATTACGTCATTAAAAAACAAGGATTGTTCCAGAATTGTACTGGTTTTTGAAACATGACCTGCTGCTAGTAATTAGTATGATGTTACCTTGGTATACCGTTTTAACATTAGCTGTTACGTTATAAACATGAGTTTGGATTTGACTTATGTGATGAAAACCTCTGATAACAAAAATTGGGTTTGCGACATTCTTGCCACGCTCGGGGGTATGACTAATTTGACAACATCATAATTAGCAGATAATTTAACCAATTACCCTTCTTTAATTTGACACAAATTCTAAGACCAAATCTGTGTTTCACATACATTACACCCCTTAAAACTTTAAAAAGAGGAATTATTACCTGTTGTGTTTAGGCGCACACACGATAGCTATAGCCTCCTTTAACATCAGCTGATAAGAACAATGTGTGTGTAGATCTACACTCGAAAGGAATGCTGATTGAGTCGGGTGAGTCTGAAAATAAAACCACTATATTACATTAAGTGTATTTATCATGTGAATATTACGTGCATAATGCATATTGCGTGCAAGTTTACCTCTCCTTGTGCTGATGATAGAGCAGTGTCCAATGTCCACTGATCAGTTTCTTTCTTAGCTAATTATTGTGACTGTTACGTGGCTCAAGTACATTGCATATCATGTTACATACTGAGTTACTAAGTTACTAGCTCAGTCACACTATAGTAACACTACAGTATAGTAACACTACAGTAACATTATAATAATGGTACATTTAGTTAAAAGCATCAAGATATCAGTATCAAGACTTATTTAATTGTCCGTTAAATATGTTTGTTTTAAAGTTAAGTAAATGCATCATGTATGTTTGTTTGTCTCTTTGTATGTCTGTATATTTGTTTGTCTGTATGTTTGTACGTACATGTATCCATCCGACAGTTATAAGATCTAGTTTGTCCTGATACTCGAACAGTTCCTCCTCCGCAAGCGTTTGACAAGAGTCAGGTGTTCCGTGCTGTTTTGGTAAGATCACGTGCGTTACTGAAATTATGTAATTATATTTCAGCTGAATCTTTTTGCTCACATTCCATCCCATTTACCAATTAATAGTGAATAGTTAATATAGTTAATAGTACTATGTTTACAGTATGTACTGAAGGGGTACTCTAGGAAGTTTCTTGAACTTTTAACAGTTACCCCTCCTCATTTAACCCTCAATCAAGTTTCCTATCATTCGGCTGAATCGACTGATGAGATCACATAGATCCAATGGATCATTAGCTAGACTAAATTAATTCCCTAGACTAAATTAATTAAGAATAATAGAATTAAAAAAGTGCCGGTGTAGACTGCAAAAGCAATTTTCTTTCACTTTGCCGTATTATTTGAGCTAAAACACATCTTTATCGTGGAATGTGTCCAAATTTGATCTAATTTAAGGCTCACAAAAAGTTAATAAGACTTACTTGTAAAATTATTAGCTGTCAGTTTAGCAGCCAGAATGCCACAAGTCTCAATGTTTTTCTGCGTATTGTCAAGACAGACCGACAGGAATTTGTCAGGTAGCGAGGTGGGCACAATAACTTCGCGCTGTGAATCCTCCTTCATCATGTCTGCGAACATATCGCTAGCTGCTAGGGCGGCTGGTTTCGTGGACCTTCAGGTGAGAGGTTAGAATTATACTAATGTAGTTATAAAAAGGGCAGATTAAATATACTGAGTTAATGATCTCCGTGGTGTGAAATAAATTTGTTTTCAAACTTGAAAGTATGAAAACAATCCGATGTTCTCTCACGGACTCTTTGGTCAAAACAAGCCTAAAAATGAAAATTCTCACTTTTTGACTTTAAAAGGCTATAAAATTAAAAACACAGCCTTTTGAGACACGATATATTTACACACGTGCAGAACAGCACGTACAAATGATGGTCAGTAAACTGTCTGGACAGATTTGGTGTATGGGCCCTTAACACCACACTAGTAATCTATAAAAGAACTGGACTCTTCAAAGTTTCCTAAAATGGTCTAATAGCTAGTGGATCGCGGAAAATATTGTATGTTAATAACAAACGTAAAACTTAACTTGCAATAAGTTAAGCTATTCAAATTTCAAGTGATTTTAATTTATGCATTTGCATTATATACAGCACTCACGTTCTAATGAGATTTTCCTTAAAAAGAAATAGCGAATTCGTTGCAACCCACCAAAACACTTGGATCGCTTTAACGATTTAATAAGAAACTTCAATGAAACCTGTCAATTTGAGGCACAGCAGGTTTTGTCGACCTATCAACTGAAGGGAAAGGACCAGTGTCGCTTATAATCTGTATTGGCGCACTGGGCGGTAAAGTGTGCTGTAACTCCAGAGGGGGCAGGATAAGAGGTGCTGAAGCTGCAGGGCTTATTGCATTGTTGTATGCTTCGTTAAAGCTGATAATGCTAGCACTGTTGTTATTACTAGGTGCAGGACGTGAAGGCTCTGCTGTTTGGAGGCTTGGGTAGGTGGGCTGCCTGAACAGTTTGCTAAATTATAGGATCTATTTAAATTTAAATTAAAAAATCGATAAACTTAATGCCACAAAAAACAATCTTATTTGGGATGAATTATATAAAGCAAAGTTACAGTACATCCTTCTAAATACTAGTTCTTTACTTACCTCTGCATTGGTGGAGGAATAACAATGGGTTTTTCACTAGCTTTGACGGCAATAGTTCGAGTTTCTTCCAATTGTTTCTCAATTTGTTCCAACTCGAGCGCTAGTTCTGTTTCACGGCGCACCATCTCGGCTCGCTTTGCGGCAACTGCCTCTTTTTCTAATTGTGCTTCTTTTTGTAACCTCTTTTGTTCTGCCTCTGCTTGCTGTGGGAAAATGTCTTGTTATTTGATGAAGCTTGCTAAAGTAACTTTGTGTTTTTTATTTTAAATATTCCGTAAAATAGTGCTTTATATCCAGTATTTACCATTTAACAGCAGGTTGCTCAGGAATTTACTACATTTGTTCTTGCAGTTATTCAAATTGTCACAGTTTTGGAAGTTTTTATCAAATTCTCAAAGGATTTTTGTCTTACCCTAATCTGTTCCTCCACAATCCATTTCTTATGCTGTCCCGCATAAATTATGGTAAGGTTATTCTTGATGATCTCAGCTCTATCAAATATTGTCTTCAGCTTACCCCGGACAATTTTTCGTTCATTTGAAGTTTGTGGGCTTTTGTATTCGGGATGTTTTGGTAGACACTCCACAAACAATCTGTACAATGAAGAATAAGATCATACTAGCAAGAGGGATATAATCAAAATAATCTAATAAAAATGATGAGAGATATTTAATTAGTCTTTAATGCCTGACTGTAGCTGACTGGATACTGACTGGACACTGACTCAATGATCAGATAGTAAGCACTTACGTTGTGTATTTCATGTACAAGAAGAATCCTTTTTCCAGATTCTTTTCGTCCTCATACACTTTTGCCTGGGAGTACCCATTAAAAGATAGTACCCCGAATATTCCACGTTTATTCAAATTAAATTTAAATTTACATAAAGTAACCAGTCACCACCACACTTTTGCAAAAAACAATCTTAAACATACCATTCTTTCGAGCTCCACCCCTGAGCGGTAATATCTCTTGATAGGAATGCCATGATTGATGCTGACACTACCTGAGGCGAGCTCGCTCAGTGCCTTAATTCGTTCTCGTGGGTCTATACTCCATGCTTTAGGGAGATCACTATTCTCCATGCCTTCTAGGAGATGTTTGGTAAAGTTGAACAGGTAATTCAGCAGCTTTATAAAGATCAATTTGTGAACATTGCATATGAGTGGCAAGTTTAAACTTAACCAAACATAATATTATGGGACTTTCCAAGACTTTTATTTGTCTCAATAACGAAAGTTTTCTTTAATTGTTTGCATACAACAGAAGAACATGTTCATGTTGTGACAAAGTAAAAACGGTGAATAACCACAATTTTAGTTACAAATATAGTATTATGTATTTTTATCAATCAACTTGATTTGTATAAATTAATCACACAGCACACTCATAAATAATAATTATCATTTTTTATGCAGATGGAATTGTTAGAGAAAACTTTGCAAACTGTTCAATCTATACTTGTAAACATCCACAATTCATGGACATAAACCATAGCTTCATGATAAAAACGTGAAAAGATTTTTTGACCCAAAATTTTGAATGAAGCAGAAAATTATTTATCATATATTATATCTAAATCAAATTTCTACAATGGTGAATTGTTATTCTGTCAATGATCTGACAGTTAACATCTGTGATATTTACAGCTAGCTTCCATGATCCATATTCAGCTTACATCCATGTCACAATAAGGCATATTTAATACATCATATGGCTCAAAATAGCTTCTTCATCTCCTATCTTTATACACTCAACCGTCTATTCACTACATATTGCTAATTCACATTGCATACAATATTGCCTTTCACAGCAATATCTATAGCACATACTGATTATTGCAGCAATATCAACATCGACTATCACATCACACCAGCTCAGCGTCAATGATCCCCACTAGAATCCCAACACCAACAATTCATAGTTGATATCAGAACCTCTAACCAGCACCCCACTACGGATTATCAGAAATTGTATTAGTAGTCCTGACGCCCACCAGAGGAATCTCCTCCAGCTCAGTGTACCTGCACAGGTACTCTCCCAGAAATGTGGACACAATGCAGGAGACCAGAGTGAGTAGCCACCATGATAACAATGTAGGGAATCCAGTGTAGAGACAGGTCAGGACAAAGTGCCAGAAGTGGATGGTAACGGTGAAGTCAAGGCACTGCTTGGAACGTTGGACTATGTACCACAAACCTACAGCTGTGATGAAACAGTTTGTAACATACGCAAAGAGAGTCACCAGATCCAACATATCACCTTTTTTACTGATGAATATTCTGTCCAGAGAGATGTCCTCAACGTGTAAGAAAGCAAGTAAATACATGACAGTACCAAGTCCAAAATAGAAGGTGCATTGCATAGCTAACATTTGAGATATGATCAGTAAAGGGTCCCATGAGTAGTTCCTGAATTGTGCCATGTTCCTGAAGAAATGGTACAGGTTTAATAGCATAACGTGATTATTAATCTTAATTAAAACAGTGTTCGGAAAGAATTTGTATCATCAGTTATGGATAAATTTGATATGCACATGCATCATGCACCCTAATACAATTGGTAACTTTAACCTCAACAAAATTCTTGACTAGTTTAGCTACCTGATATATAACTAAGATATTTTCTATAATTGGCACAAGAGAATTGCTGTACTTAAAATCTACAATTATTATCTTTATTTCAAATCCAAACTAGATTTATGGTCAATATTAATAAGGTAACAGTTGCAGTGGTAATACAAAATTCTGGATAAAACATGGATAAAGAAAGTTTATATTTCACAGGGGATCCATGATATAATATAACTAGATATTGAGAACTATTGAAAAACATAAGATCAAACATCATCTTAAAAAGTTGAAAGACTGAATAAGTTAAAAATAACCATAGCATGGTATAAAACATTGAGTTGAATGAGAGATGTTATGCAAGTTTTAAGGCTAACATCTGACAAGAAGAATCAGTATGAGTATGCAAATGCTTTTTGAATTTTTTCAACCTGGTAGTCTTAAACGTGCATTTTGGACACTGATAATAACTATCTTTGGATTCTTCTTGATTCTTTGTGTTGTTAATTTCTGAATCATGATTACTTTTTGACAAAATAGATTGTTTATATTTGATGGTTTCGGTTTCAGTAACCCTGATTTGGGCTGTGTCTTTTGCAATTTGTTCTTCTAGGCTTTTAATTTCTTCATTGATCTTGAAGAGATTCTCCTCTACTGTATTGATGTGCCCTTCCTTTTTCTCCTCTGCATTTTCTACATTTATAGCATGTGAACTAGATTTGAAATGGTTAACAAGTTTGGCTTTGGTGTTAAAATTTCTGCCAACAACAAAGTTTGGCTCACAAGCAGTGCATCCAACTTCAAATCGGCTAATAAGTAGCTGGTCGGGTGGCCCCAGCTTAGAGATGAAGTTGTCTATATCTTCGAGATAATTCCCTGACATAATCTGAATACAATGCAGTTACAATTCATAGAGTTAACTACAAAAGAAACAAATCACAAAATGAATGACACAAACCTGGAATAATTTGCTCATTAATCAGAATAAAGTAATCAAAACATTGGGAACTTATAACTATTTAAAGGAAGAGCTATAAAATATAATTTCTGTCAAAGAGAAAGCAAAAGTTGATAAACAATAGCTGTCCCAGGTCAGAAACGAATCACAGGAGGGGAACTCAATACAAGCCATTGCTACCTTACCTCTCATTTATTAGCTGTATCAGTGACACCACTACTACAGTGATGATGATTGATAATAGTGTCCCAGTATGGAGCTTACTGCTTAAGGTGGCTGGATAAACAGCTGATAGATATCACTCCCCTCTATCAGAGACAACTATAAAGTCAATGAAACATATAAATGGGACAGAATTTTATATACAAAGCCTGTCAATCAATCATCTTTTTTTATTTGAAAATTCAATTAATTATTATATATAAATCAAGCGTTACATTTCAGCCATGCAAAATTACAATGACATATTTTGATAAACTAATTGATAAATGGTACTGCAATATAAGTTGCTTATTGTTTGGCCGGATGACAACTAACTGAAAGAGAAAAATAAACTTGATTACATAATAATTAATTCGGCTGAACCAACACATAGCAAGAGCCACATTAACGTTGGGGGCGTTATTATTACAAATACAAAATAGATCAACCTGATAACTTTACAAAATTTTAAGTCTTTGAGCAGGGTCCCACATTGTTTTATTTACAGTAACTAATATAAAATTTATTTGTGATCAGTTACTATAAGTAAACAGTTATTTGGCGTTTAAGCACAGCGCCATGAGTTTCATGAGCGTGCTTTGGAATTTCAATATTTTTCTAAAAGGGCCCCCAATACACAATCATGCTAAATCACTTTACCATATATGTACACTCGATCTTTTAGATTTTTCTTAAAGGTTGACACTGATTCCGCGCCGAATCATACTCCATGACATAGGGTTTACATGCTCCTCTGGCGAGATATTGGCAAAAAACTGTCTCGATCACGTGATATGACGGTATAAGGAAGTTGGTCTAATTTCTAGTTAGGGTTAGAGTTTCAGCATATGCTTTTGTTAGGGATTGGGTTAGAGTTAGGGTTGGGATCAGATTAGAGGGTAAGGATTTCGAATAGTTTTTTAGGGCCAGCTAGAGAACGGGTAAGAAAAATCGCGTGACAGTCGAGTGTCGAGTGATCAATTATCATCCATCAATACAAGTTCAATTGAAATCAGCTTAAATCGATGCATTCTTGAACGCTGATTCCGAATCACCCGACATGATATGATAGGGTTCAAAATCTCCCCTGGCGCACCCCGGCTAAATCGCTTGCCCCAATTATAAATAGATCCTTATGAAAAGGCCCTGACGGTAAAAAATCAATCTAATTAAACAATGTATACATTCAATTAAATCAAGTGATGCAATTGGCAGAGCACAACCAAGTTAAGTGTTGCAATAGGCAGAGCACAACACATTGCTACCAATATTTAAAAACTTTAACAATCCAATATATACAAGTTTCAAAACAAATGATCTACTCCATTATAAGGGCAGAGATGAGGTTGTACGAGACTTTTGATAGATGGGTCCCATGTTTGGTGTCCACCTTCTTTCCTCAGTACCCTCGTAGAGCAATAAGAGTTGTTGCAAATCTTATCCTCGTTCTCACATGCCTTACTAAATTGCAGTATCTCTCCTTTCTAATTTTTGTTACTCTGTTGACAAACTGCTTACACTCTTTAGACATTTCTCCAGATGTGAGAAATACAGCCGAGGTGAAGGTTGCCTTCTCCACATTCGACACTCTCTTAGGACATCCGCCAAAATTGCAGATTTTCAGACCACCCCCCCCCCCCCCCCTCCCCCAGAGGCCAGATTTCCAGCTACTTTTAGAGTACGAATAAAACTCGCACCCCAGCGAACGCCGCGGGCTTCATGCGCCGCTAAAACGTTTAAATTTCATTTTTATAATTCTCCCAAGACTCCTGTTAAGACAAATTGCGAATGTTTAGCTTTAAAACTACTCTGTTCTTAAAACAATTGTTTTAATCATCGAATACTGAAGAGTTCAATTCAATCCAAGGTAAATTGTTCAAATTATGAGTGATCATGAATGAAAAATGAATAATTTACACGTAAAATTTGCCTCAAAATTTGTCTTGAAAAATAACCATAACTCTGGCTATGATTTGAATTTTGAAAATTTAAAATGCTAGTGCCGCGCACAAAAATATTCCGCGCATTTAAAACGTGTCGATAATGCGCCCAAACCAATGTCGCGTTGGATAATAGTATCCAAGCTTGTTGAATTCACAATTTTCATTTCTTGTTCCAGTTTGTAGCTTTGTGTGGCAGCCATATTGGTTTTATGCGTGCGCATATATATTGCGCGCTATCTATATATCTTACCGTTAAATGTACGTTTACAGATTTAATCGAGATCTCTGCGAGGCTTTCATAATTATGTATGATATAGCTTGATATGCTGTTACTTCAAATTGCTGTAATTTCTATTTATATTGACTGAAGTAGAGTACAAAATAAAATTATTTGCTCTCTAATTTTAAGGATGT